CTGTGGCTGCTATCCCAGGACCACTCACTGAGGAAGAATTCTTTGGTCAGTAACTAAATCCTGTTGTGAAGAGACATATTTTGATTTTCAGAATGTGGGTGGGCAAGTGGAATGAATCAGACTTAGACTTTTGGTAAAAAACTATTCTTCTGTAAGACTTTCAAAAATCCTTTTGTTTTTAGTGACTTTTGGAAATGCCTTGGAAGAGCGGAAAAGGGGGGAGCACCAGATTATGGATGTACAGGAATCCCAATTTCCAAAAGTAGGCATTCACATATTTACCACTTAAGGGAAGGGTTAACTTAGTTACAAATATATGTGGGGGAGATAGAGACCAGTTCTTAGAATCTGTAAGGCCACAGCTGGAATTCAGGTCCTGACTCTGACCATACCATGTGTGTGACATTTCAGTTCTCCATTGGTTGACACAGTTTTCTTCCGGAGAATTCTATGTACCAGTGAAATCGTAGCTTTGACCAAAAGAAGGAAAAGAAATAATAATAGAAATTGATTTAGATAGAAGAGGAAAAAGCAGTTTTGAAGAAACTAGGCATAGACCAATATCTCATACCACATACCAAGATAAGGTCAAAATGGGTACGTGATTTAAACATAAAGAGTAACATTATAAGAAAATTAGGGGAGCAAGGAAAAAATTACCTGTCAGGTCTATTGACCAAAGGGGATAGAGAGGATCATAGGAAGTAAAAATGAATATCTCAGTTACATTAAATTAGAAATTAAAAAAGGTTTTGCACAAACAAAACTAATATAACCAAAATTAGAAGGAAAGCAGGGAATTGGGGAAAAATTTCCCAGCAAATCTCTGCGATAAAGACCTCATTTCTCAAATATGTGGGGAACTGAGCCAAATTTATAAAACTAAGAGCCATTCTAAATGGTCATAGAGAGGCAATTTTCAGAAGAAATCAAAGCTATCCATAGCCACGAAAAAATGCTCTCAGTCACTATTATTTAGATAAGTGCAAATTAAAACAACTCTGAGGTACCACCTCACCCCTGTCAGAATAACACGACAGAAAAGGAAAATAAGTGCTAGTTGGGGTAGAAAAGTAAGGACACTGACGCAGTAATGGAGTTGTGAACTGATTCAGCTAATCTTCTGTAAAACTGCATATCCTTTGACCCAGCAATATCACTACTTGGTCTGTATCCCAAAGAGATTTAAAAAAGGAAAAGGATCTATATATACAAAAATATTTGAAGCAACTCTGTTTGTGGTGGCAAAGAATTGGAAATTGGGGGGATGCCCATCAGTTGGGGAATAGCTGAACAAGGTGTAGTGTATGATTGCGATAGAGTATTATTGTGCTGTAAGAAATGACAAGGGGAATGGTTTCAGAAAAACCTGGGAAGTCTTAAGTGAACTGATGCAAAGTGAAATGAGCAGAACTAGGAGACCATTGTACACAGTAACAGCAGTAGTAAGGATGATCAGCTGTGAAGAATTTAGCTACTCTGATCAATACAATGATCCAAGACAATTCCAAAAGACTCATGAAAAATGCTGTCCACTTCCAGAGAGAGAACTGATGAACTCTGAGTGAAGGCATACATTTTTTCACTTTTTTAATTGTTTTTTTTTTGCAACATGGCACATGTGGAATTATGTTTTGCATGACTTCACATTTATAATGGGTATGATATTGCGTCCCTTGTCAGTGGTTGGGCTGGAGAGAGGGAGAGAATTTGGAACACACAAAAAAAGAATGTTTAAAAAAAAAAAAAAGAGGTAGGATTCATATTGCTCTGGTTCCTAAAAGTTATCACAGATAACACCCTGATAGGGAAATTGCTTTCTGTCACCTGATATTTACCCTAACAAAAGCAGATGCTTCATCTGCATGATCAGTGCATATTTATGGGCCCTCCCTTTCTCTCTGTATTTTCTGACTGTGTGGCTTAGAGCGTTAATTTTCTGGGAATAGAAAATTAGCTGGTCAAAAAAACCAGCAGCTGAGAATTTAGCTTTGGTGTGCTAGATGTATGAAACCATTGCTTTCCTGTGGATGTATTTTGTTGTGATCTTTGTGTATCTATAGATGACCTGGAAATGTGGGATCTCCCTTTGGATGCAGCAGACGTCAACGCTCTCAAGCCTGTGCTGAGCTCAGATCCCGGTTCATCCCACTCCCCTGCCGCGCCTGGTTTAAAGAATCACATGACAGCTTGGGGCAAGATGCCTCCGAAGTTATGCCACCAGAGGCCCTCATTGTCAGGTACCAGAGAGCATGCAGAATAGGGAAGGTCCAGGGTTCAGTCTCGAGTTTAGCAAAGCCTCATGCCAGTCCAGAGAGGAAGCTGCGCAAGAGGGGAAGGGAATGTTGTTCTGATTTGTTTGACTAGGGTTCTGGTTTGGGGCAGGCCTACTCTTCCTCAGGGGGCAGGGTGCAGGCCATTTGTTAACATAATCTGGATCTTATGTTCCTTGATGAAATTCAGTCCTGCTCTTTGTGCCCCTGATGTATACTTACCATTTAATATTCTATTTATAGCTGTATATGTTCTTTCTGGTGGAATATAAGCTCTTGAGAACAAGATTGTTTAATTTTTGGTTTTGTGTCCTTAGCACCTCTGTATTTTTCACTAAGTAAATACTTAATGTTTGCCTAATTGAATTGGCATCTTATTCCCATAACATACTGTGCTGGGTAAACTCTTATCTAAACTTTGGATCTTCTCTAACACAGGGTTCTGCATAGTCACTGTCGTTATCCTTTGATCACTTGAGTATAACTGTGGGTGGGTGAGAAGCTAATGTATGCTCTGGTCATTTAATTTCTTACCATTGTGTTCTTAGAGCCAGAGTAGTGTTGAGGGGGAGTTCAACTGATAGCTGATTGTTGTTCATATGTGTGTGTATTTAACATATTATTTTCAGACATTTGATCAGTTTCTTTTAATTTTCCACAGGGAATTGTAGCCCTTACAGGAAGAACCAGGGCCTGAAGAAAAGAAAATTGGATTCCCATTAACTGGGGCCTGGAACCCTTAAGATACTGGGCCATATAAGGACCTAGGAATACCAGAAGGAGGCCATGCAGAAGAGCACTTTACCCCTTCATGGCCCTGAGGTTGGAATTAGAACCAGTTAAGTTCCCTACAATTCTCTCCCAGGGACACAAGTCTTATTCCCTTGGACTTACCAGATTTTAGTCAAAGCTTTTTCCCAAAGTGATGGTTTTGAGGTACAATCTAGTGAGTCTTAACAGATTTTTTTAATCCAGAAGATTTCAGTAACTGACTTCTAAATAGACTGTAGATAAAACTTAAGGAGAAGTCAACAACATTTTTAGAACCTAAATGCTATGGAAGGAATGCCAGTCAATCAGAGGTCTGTACAGCAGAGCCACTCAGAGAAGTGGTCCAGAGAAGTGTGAAGGTAAATACCTCTCCTTTTGCTATTGGTCTCTGAGTTGTTTGTCCTTCTTAAGTGCTACAAATTTGTTAATAAAACGTATGTATTGTAATTTGCTATAGTTGGCAGCTTCTAGCAGTACCTATTATCCATTAGTACTAAGCACATTCCCTCAATTAAGAGTGGGAGACCAAACCAATTCGATGTTACCCATGGGGTAAAAACATCTTGAGAATAAAGATAACCCAGGGGGCAGCTAGGTGGCACAGTGGATAGAGCACTGGCCTTGGAGTCAAGAGGACTTGAGTTCAAATCCAGCCCCAGACACATAACACTCACCAGCTGTGTGACTCTGGACAAGTCATTTAACCCCATTTGCCTTGGGGGGAGGGAAGATAACCCAGCTTTGCTGCTTAATACTTCTGCTCCCCTTTCTCTTGTTTTCTTTTGAGATTATCACCTTTTTATGGCACCTACAGCCTGCATTTATTTCAATACCTGAAAGCATAGTCTGCATAAAGGTTACAGACCAACATCTTTGCAACAGCTCAGGATCCAGTAGAAATCTTTGGGTTTCAAAAAACAGCACAGTAGCCTCCTACAGAGCCACGGAGTTGGCACAGGGTGGCTCAGTAACAACTACTAAAACCTCCACTCCCCATATTTGGAATTATTGTAATAACCTACTTTTAAAACTTGACATTCACTAAGAATCTGTACTTCTTGACTGTTCTTGTTGCTAGAACTGTTAACTTTTGTCTTCCTCTCTCTTCCATTGAAGAGGCTGGATCCTTCAAATCATTTATAATGATCACTTGTACCTTAAGTGAGAAGAACCATAACTGGCATTTATCAAGGAACTGCTGCCTATGAAGCACTAGGTTGTTAATAGCACCTACCTCACAGGTTCATTTTCAGGATCAAGTTGGATAATGTGCTTTGCAAACCTCAGCATGTTATATAAATGCTAATGGAGATTATGATGGTTTTGAGGCAGGGATTTTTAATATCCCCAGTGCCTACCACATAGTGCTATGAGAGCGAGCTCGACTCAGCGAGAGCTTTTAAAAACATATACTTAATCATGCCATATTCTATCTAGCTGTTTTGATCCCTCTACAGTATTGATTGATGATTTGACTGTAGGCTTGCTCAATTAATAGAGCAAGACCCCTCAACATGCAGGGTATGCATGAGGATGTTGCCTCAATCTATTCCAGTGGAAAAAGCAACTGTTAGTTCTTTGGGCTGTATTCCCTATTATTTGGCTGTCATATAATGCTTTGTGTACACAGTGAAATACACTGTATCTCTTTTGGAAAGCTTAGGACATGGATATATATCCTAATCATTCCCCTCCCTTCTCCCCCAGTGGCAGCATCTTGATGGAGTCCTGTCTTGTTACTCTTGACTTTCTTCTCCATCGATAACTTGTCACTGTTTACATGTCTGACAACGTGTGCCTGAAAGGAAAAAAGGACATCCTGTATCTCTGATGTAATCTTAGCTGAGGGCTCAGTTTGCTATAAGTAGAGATTTTTATTAGCCTGGAAACTTAGGATTCAGGCCACCAGGGCTCTGGCAGGTTGGGAAAAAAAGGCTGCAAATGAAACCCCACAGCTCAACAAAAGCAAGTTTGGTTTATTTGAATGGTTTCATTAAATAAGTCTACAAAGGTAACAAACTGCAGCGCAAAGCGCAATCTTACAAGAAGTGCGACGGCCAGTTAGTGCAAAATGTACAATTAATGGCTGCTCAGAAACCCCCAAGGTTTGAATTCATTTTATTTATTTTTTTTACAGTGTACATTGTTAAATAATGTAAAGAAAACATTTGTAATTAAGAAACAAGTTTTTTTTTAATGTGGAAAAAGATACTCAAAGTGTACTATTAACACAAAATAATTTAAACAGTTCAGTAGCATTAGTTTATTCCTCTAGGTTTCAGTTATTTCATCCACAGGTGGGAAATCAATAGCAAATAAAGACCAGTTCTTGGTAAATGTTTAACCTGGTAAATGTTTTTGTAAGTGAAAAGCCCCTCCAACTTTTAAACCAAAATAGTTAAATAACTATGTGCTGCATTTGGCTGCCCAGTTCTTCTGGCAGAATGTTGTCACCTCTCCTATTTCGTCCTATTAGATGGCTCATTTCTCAGTTATTGGGATCTTTTTTATTCCATCCTTACCCTGTCACCCCCCCCCCCATTTTAGGCAAAGCCTTTTTCTCAGAATTAAAAAAAAAAAAAAGCAAAATGTTATATAGTTATCAAGGTTTACCATCCCTCCCACCCTTTTCTGTTTCCCTAAATAATTTAGCTGTTTACTTTGCAGTTTTATAGCCGTATACCATTTAACTCAGAAAATAGATCATTCAAAGAACATGCAGGATAGCTACTCTTGCCACCACATGTGATCAAGTTTTTGTTTTACAAGGTGTCCTCTGCTGTAAATCAAAACTGGATCAGGGGTTGGAAACATTTCTCTCCCCTTTATTATGGGATCAGAGAAGCACCCACAGAAATAGAAGTCCAAGTACCTTCCATATGTCTATTGACAGCAGAAATACCAAATAATTAGGCAAGTCTTTTTTTTCTCCCCTTGGAGCCTTGAATATTCTGGAGTTGCACAAGACCATGACATGTGACTCAACCCCAACATAGCTAGATGCAGCATTGAGTAATACTGCAGTATTATTCAGGGAATTCTTATTTTTTCTGAATGAAAAGATGAGAGGAAATTGTAAGTAGATGTAGAAATGTATAAAAGGTGGCACAATAAGTTATGTTTTTGATAGCACTTGGGCATCTCAAAGAAAGGAGGAATGGGAAAAATTAGTTTTTTATTTCATAAGTAGAAGTGGTTTCAGGGCCTCCAATGGCAGCAATGGTTATTGTTCCAGGTTAAGAGGACCCTGGTACACAGGAAAGGAAAACAGTCCCAGCAGCTATCCCTCAAGCAACTTTCCCCTCTTCTTTTTTGCCCCTTCAGGACCACTTGATAGCTTAAGAACCAAGTCAACCCTTAAGTTCAACTTTAACCAGACAGTACTCTCTCCATCTGATGCCTTCTCTGGTCTTACTCTGGAATAATAAGTAAGGCTCCTGAAAGTAATGAGCTTGGCTAGCAGATATGATTACCTATAAACAAGCTTCCTCTTCATCCTTCAAACTTTTCTTTCTGCTACTTAATACATACCACTCCCTAGGACCTCAACCTAACTGCTCGATATAGTTAAAATCACTTTCCCCCCTATACTCCTGCCTCCAACCAACTTTCTCAACATAACCCCTCCCACCCTCTTTCAAGACCTGCTTTGGGCAAAGTTTCCTGGTGGTTTAAAAGTACCCTTTGGTACTGGTTTGCCCGGTGGTATACCTAATTCGGGACCACATGGACCTAAAGGTTCTTTCAACCTGTCCTCTGGCTGGGGTCTGCTGGGAAGATGATGCTAAACTGCAGAAGCAATAGAAGTCCAAGGCACTAAAATGTCCAGCAAGCAATACTGGGAGAACAGACAAGTATTCAAGTACAGTAATTTTACAATTTTACATTCACATTTATTTATCTAATACAATGGAAATACAAAGGAAAAAGTTAAAGTGTCTCCAATAAGTATACGGATATAGCTAGCTTTTTTTGAACTTTTTTAACCCTCTATATTCCACTCTTAACTACTGTTGTCCAACAACATTTATATATCACAGTGTTTCCACATCAAAACTGATGGCAAAGTTACATGTCCGCAGGGAACTTTAAAAAAAAAACAATTTAAATGGCTAATGCTGCAGTCAAAGCTATTAATATTGTTTACTTAAAAGCAGTATGACCTATTTTAAAGCAAGAGCTGCAACTCCATTCTGCTTAAGCTCCCCAGTGCCTGGGCTCCAAGGAAGGTTAGTTGAAAGGGAATGGTGGGAAAGAAAGATCCCAACAAATTTTTATCCTGTGGTCTGGACTCTTGGGGTAGAGGGCAGGTAACTGTAGGGAAGAGATTTAGGGCAAGACATCAAGTGTGCTATTAAGCCTCATGCTAGGACTTTGACCCTCAGAGCACATGTGGGTTTGCTTTGATAATGAGATCTCCAGTGGCTTCTCTCTTTCATTGCCCTGGCTGTTGGATACAGAGAAGCAGAGAAGCTTAATAAGAAGCTGACCCTTTATAAGAAACTGCTTTTTCCCTGTGCCTCCAAGACATAGGGAAAGAAGGGAGATTCTCCATCCTGAGGGTTAAGTATGGTGGTTAGAAACATTCTTCTGGCAAGAAACAACCAGTTATATGCAGCATAGTAGTTAGTATATAGGCTATCTCGCCCCCCCCCCAAGTCTACCCAGTCCCGTGTATAGATCTGGTTAAGTTGTCCTCAGGTTTGAACCTGGGGGATTGCTGATGGATTTCTGCAAACTGCTGATGTTGAAACTCTGCAAGGATGCAGTCCCTACAGGCTGGAACTGGCTGAGGGGTGGTGGTGCTGGGCCACTTGTCCCACTCCACTGAGTGCTGAAGGGAGCTGCTGGGAAGCTGTACTGCTGTGGGGGGCACATAGCCTTGGTGAAGTGACCTAGAGAGGTAGCTGATGCTGCAGATATGGGGGCAGAGCCACCCAGGTTAGAGGTCATGGAGATGCAGAGCTGTCCAGGTGCTGAAAATTTCCTTGCCATTCCAGGGCCCTGAAATAAAGTCCAAGAGGTAATATTAGAAAGTTTTGAGAAAAATATTTTATTACAAAACAATGATGAGAGATTTTTCCTCCTTTCCTACTCACTAAAGTGGTGACTGCTTCAGGGATCTATAGGCTTGAAATTACCAATCATAGAAAAGTTAGGTTGGACTAATGGAGGGATAAAAGAAATTGGAGCTATTACTTTGGTCCTTAAAAAAAAAAAGTAACAATGGTAAGATGAAGCTGATGATTAACAAGACCTTATCAGAAAACATTTGGGAACTGCTGCTATTCAGCAACAATTTGGATGTTTAGTAAGCAGTCTCTCTCAGTGCTCGAGATGGGATAGGAAGAAAAAGAAAAAGTCTCACCTCATAGTTCATGTGTCCCTTGCTTCCTCTCCTGCCTGAGAGATTCATGGCATCTCGGGCCCAGTTGTCTACCAACTTGTGTAGATCGTCTGTGAATGTGCCCTTTCTGCTGGGTGGCTGGGCCTGTGGGGCTTGGCTATTGACTGCTCCTCCCACTGTATTCGTACTGCTGGTCCCTAGAGTTAGAAGGCAAAGAACACAGGCTTTACAAAAGCTTATTTGGGTTTCAATTTCAGGAGACGGTCAAAGATCACAGAATGATGAAATGGAGGGCTTAGGGAAAGGATGAGTTAGGAAGCCATGCAGAAAGAAAGGCAAGTGGTTAAGATTCCTGGGTTTTATTTAAGCCATATGCTTTAGCTAAACAGAGTTATGAGGAAAATTTTTCCTCAGGAGCTATCAGAGTGCCTGTGGTGATTCTAGATGAGTGTTTGCCGAGGCCAGGCCTCAGAGCATTGAGGGCACAACAGGCAAATGGAATAGGTGTTTGTTTTTCATATCACACAAGGGCAATCAAGGCCAGTGACTACTGGTAATCTGCTCCTAGCCCCCATGCTGTGAAAGAGGGAGAGGAATGGTGCAGTCTGTGGGGCCAGCTGCTCTGGTTTCCAATCACCTTGAAGAGGGGAAAGCAGGAGAGGACTTCTTAATGCATTCACATCAAGGGCAAGGTTGGAGGAGGAGGAGGAGAGGAAGGAGGAGGGAATGACTTGGTCTGAGACGATGAGGTATCTACAATTCCATGTAGATACTGCCACACTTCTTCAACATTAGGCTCATGGGGGCATCCCAGAGTAGGACTAAGAGGCTAAATTAGGTAGTGGTTTATTTTATCAGTACAGCTTTCACCTGGGCCCATAAATATGGATTTGTAAAGACACCATTACTGGGAGAGATTGAACTTTCATTTGTCTTTCCTGGTGTGAGTCAGGCCCCAAGTCAGAGTTTGAAACTACTGCAGGCTTGGGTCATTTAGCTCGTGTAAAGGCTCTATTCTGAAGTTGTTAAAGGCCGCCTACTCCTTCCCCAAACCAGAGCAGCAAGCACTTCAATATAGAAGCAGCAGGAACATTCAGCTTGGATCAGAGGTGCACAAGGGGTGGGGGAAGCTTTGAGGCTATGGAGAAGGTAATTTTATTTGTATGGTTGATGAAAAAGAAGGAGTCTGTGTCCTGCCTGATTTCGGCTCTGCTGGAGGGCACACTGAAGATTATTCGAAGAGGCAAGTATTAGGGAAGAGGGAGAGAAGAGTCACTGTCTCATATTCACTCTTATCAGAGCTCACATTTGCAACTGCAGGATAAATAAAAGCTATGTAAAGTACAAGGATGTGATTCCAAGCCACCAGGCTGTCAAGATACCTTTGCTTCCTTGTTATGGGCATCCATAAATGCATGCAACCTTCCTGCTGCATGAAAATAGATGTCAAAAGGCATCATCTGGAGCTATCCAGAAAAAGGGCCCTTCTAAATCAGGGACTGGTCTTGCGCCAAGTGTAGACTGATGTAGGGAATAAGACCCACAAGCACTGCTGAGAAAGGATCAGAGCTGACCTTTCAGTGAAGCTTCTGAGGAAGGAATCATGCTTCGTAGTGTGGTGGCAACACAGGGAGAATAATAGAGGGGTTCTTTGCCCTAGTAAAGAATATATGCCCTAAGGTGACCCAGTTGCATGAACTATGTGAAGGGAAGGTTGGTATTTTCTTGAAGTGCAGAGAACCTGAACAGAAAAGAGTAGGATTTTGGGAACTTTCTCTCGAAGGGCAAATGTAAGATAGGGCTAGAGTGAGAGTCACATGCACTGAGTATGAGTGGACATGGTAATATGGAATTTCAAGAGGTCACATGCATGAGGGTTGACATATTTAAAGGGAAACTATTTGGAGGGGCCCTGGTCAGTAAATAAGGCAAGCACAACACAGTTCAGTTAGAGGTAAGGGAACCATCAAAAGTCAAAATATTTTAACAGGGAAGCTTAATACAAAAGTGTCTTATTCACATTAAGAAATTCCTTATTTACACATGCTGGGTATGATACCTCTTCATTAATTCTGGTGGCTATTAACCTCCTGTAACCAAGCGCTCTCTTTTTACAGAAGGTTAATTTCATCTTTCACTCTGAATCTACATGGGGAACTAGAATACTGGCTTGTGACACGGGGAAGAACCATGCACACAGTATGAATTGGCCGCTAAAAACCAGCTGTCACATACAGTCCCAATTCTGACTACTGGGGACTAATAAGGTTCACTCCAGGCCATGTAGATTTTTTTTTTCTGTTGTGATGAATTACAGCCAATTTGTTGGAGACAGGTAAGTCTTCAGATTTGTGGTGTTCCCTCTGTGCCGTGGTCTAATCCTGGACAGGAGGGGAAGCAAGGGTAGTAGAGTGCTCTTAATCTCATTAATCTGTCTTTCCCCATTATCTGAGTACCTTCTCACCAAATCCTAATAACCATAATCTCTCCTGTGACTCTAATTAAAACCTCCTACTTCTCCATTCCTGATCTTTAAACTTAAGCAGAACTAGCTGTGGAATAAATAACTAAATCCACACATAACCTCACTCACTGAAGTCAAACCCTACAGGGTGAACTATACTCTACCTCCCCACTCTGGCAGATATCTTTCCCCGAATATCAATTAGGTACATCTGATTTTCCTTCGCAGTTCACTGGCTATTGCCGATCCATGATTTGCCTCAGAGATAGGCTGAGATGGGGGCTGGCAAGTCTTGACAGTCTAGAACTTGAGGTGAGTTTTCAATCTTAATTAATAAATTACCTTCTAGCACTTAGGCATATCAATAAACACATCATCAGAGGGGACAGAGAGACAAACAGATGCAAGACTGAAGTCAGATTCAGGGAGATAACGACTTCAGGGTTTGGAAAATTAATGGATAAACAGCATTACAATCAAAGATCAAAAGTAACAAAAAAGAGATAATTACTACAGAGCTGGTTGCAAGGACAGACTTTTTTCACCATCTTCCCTGAAGCACAAAGAAAGAGCAATGTGTTAAAGAAACATCAGTGCAAAATATTTAGTATTGGCAAATAGCATTAAAAGGCCCAGCAAGAGAAACCAGGAGTAGAGAAGGGGCAGTAGGACCCAGTAATCCTTGATGTCCAGAGGGGCACAGAGCAAACCCTTAACAGCTTTAGGGTAATAAAACTAGTATCTAGGAATCAAGATAGTAACCTATGTATTACTGACTGTCCCAAATCAAATTAATCCACCCCAGAGAGGCTTCTCTCTTGGATGGCTATCTGACGGACTTGGTAACCTTGGTTAAGGAGAAGGTACACTGTTTGGGGACTGAGAGATGGGAATATATCAAGGCCTCATTGCTTAAGGATCAAGTACCCAAAGCAGAGTGTTCGCCACTGATCCAGTCCCACTCTGTTTCTCCTGCTGAGTAGTTGAAATGTAGGCAAGTAAATGTATTAGCAATCGAGAATCTGCAAAGCCTTTCACAGCAGCCTTACTGTCCCAGTTTTATTATTAATTCACTTGCTTCCTCCCACCCTCACAATTGCAATCTTTAAGATTATGCTAGAAGGGAAGGTTAGAGGATTCTGGAAACCAGCAATCTATGTATCAAGCCAAGCCGTGCTATCAGTAAGCTATCTATTCTTAGAGGATAAAAAAGATGCAAAGATCCCATGCACTGCCTAGCTAATCCCCACCTTTCCTATAACCTTAACTTACTTGCCCTTTGGTACCTGCTCATGAGGAGTTATTTCATGCACAATAAATCTTCAATTGACTTAGGCCCACTCCTTTATCTTCCAAGGGAAGTGCTAAGAATGGAATGTATTTAAAATGATCCCAAAATAAGAGAAATGGACCCTCCCTGGGATTTTATGACATATTAGGATATGTGAATCTTTTCCATATTTCCCTCCAAACTACCTAACTTTAGGTCTTTATGCCTATCTATTTATGGAAAGAAACAAATTATGTGGGTACTGAGTGGCCAAGCATACTATCTCCTGGCTTGGTTGGTTAAGAAATGTGGTGTAAAAGGAAAGTGCTTGACTTGGAGTTAGGAGAAATCTGGGTTCAAATTCTACCACTTACAAGTGAATACTGCATGTCCATGGGCAAATCATTTAACCTCCGTGGATCCTCAGTTTCCTTTACTAATAAAATACAAGTAATATCTGTAGACCTAATCTCAGAAAGATTTTGCAAGGATCAAGTTAAACATAAAAAGTGCTTTGTAAACCTTAAAGCACTATATTAATATCAAACCTGTCCAATGAAATTGCAGCTCTGAAACCCTAAATCAAAGTACTTTATCACAGTACTGTTCAAATATTCTATCCCAGAAGTCAAATAATTTTGCAATTACCATCTGTTGTAGAAGGAGGAGTCTAGAGAACCCCTTAACATAGCTATCATCCTGTTGCTAAAGTAAAGGGAAAAGATGGGTTGGGAAGTAGGAAGACACAGGCTACAAGATGCAAAGTAATGAAGTTAAATGGGTATAGGGGAAGGATGCAGGGGAATGAAGTTAAATGTGATGCATGAAGGTGAATCAAAGCACTTCCCTTACATATCCTGTCATTACAGACAACAGAGGAGCAATAATACTTCCATCCAGGAAGGTCTATCAACCTTTGAAGCACACTTAGAAGCATTATGTCGGCAGCCTTAGCACATGCATTTAAAAACACCTCAATAGCCACATCAGAAGTTTGAGGTCTTGAGAGACAAGACCTTTCCTTATCTCTTGAGTTTACTTACAAGGAACAGCCAGAAAATATCAAAAAACACCTTATAAGACAATTCTCTGTAACATATTTGCCATTGTGAGTAAAGACGACCTCCCTTTCTTTGTTAGGAGGTCAGTCTCCAACTAATGAAACACTTTTAATAAAGCAGCTGTAACAAATATTTGTATATACTGATTTCCCTTAGAAAAGAGTCTTATAATTAGAATATCTAGGAATTATTGAATTTGGAGTGTAAAGTAAAGCTGGTACCTGGAGGACTATGGAAGAATTAAATAGGATCCAGGAGCTATGCAAAGGAGGTTTTTATGTTTCTTTGAGGTTCTATATATAGTATCTAGTATTCTATGGTTATTTAATCTGAACTGAAATTAAGGCCTATTATGAGTACTTCAACATGCCATGAAATAAGACAGAATAAACGGGAAAAACCACATCATGTTCCTCTGATAGATTTAACCTAATTATGTCTATATGTGCTGCTAGAACTTTTCTATCTTTCTGGTACGTTTAATACCAAGGCCACAGAGCCTGAAGTTAGTTTCTAAGGTCCAAGGTTCATTGCCTCAAGACAGCCTATGTGTTCTGTTGGAACAGTCCTCTATATATTAGCTAAATTCAATATAAAGAAATCCTTCAGCATCCAGATAAGTTCATCTCCAAGTTCAAAGTAATATGATCTATTTTTATAGAACTGTATTTCATAAGAACAAATGGACCCAAACTTCTGAGTGTAATAATAATAGTTCAGCCAAGCCACTGAGTACACGGGATACAAAGAGACAAAGGAGAATGAGCTGCATGAAATATCAAGTCCAAGCAGCAGAAAAACAAAAATAAGGAAGGAGTAAAGGTGTTACACACAAAGAGCCAAGCAGGGCGTACTCAGAAATCGGGTCCTCCTGCCACCAGGTTTGAACGTCACCCGCTCAGATGCACAGTTAAACTTCGCACAGCCTGTGAGAAGGTGGGGAAAAAGAGGGAAAAACAGAGAAAGGAAGAGAAACACAGAACACAACTACAAGATGTTAGAAACTTGAGGTTGGAGTGGTGAAATGTACTAAGATGGCACAAAGAAGAACAAGCTTCAGGAGAAGGGCACCTAGGTAGAATGAGAACGAGGAATTCCATTCCCTCCACCTGTAAAAATCCAAAGCGCTTCACTTCACTGGAATAATGCTAGTTTACTTTGCTCCTTCAGAATACAGTACATTCACCTTGATAAGATTTGGTACTCAGTTCAAAGGTTTCTTTCAATTCTCCTGAAAATGTTCTTAGAGAAGAAGGGGTGCAGTGATCCTTGCTTCTGAGTTCTCTGGAAGCAAGTCTATTATTTTGTCCCTTTCTTCCTCCTTAGACACCCCACAACTGAATTTCATATCTTTTATTTCCATTATTAGTGGAGACCCTTTTGATGGAAATGTTTTGTCTAGTAAAACATGATCATTATGGCAAAGTGGGCTATGGACAGAAAGCAGAATTATCAGATTGTTCAAATACTGAACAGGTCCTTCAGCATGCTTCCCCTACCCTAGTAGTAGAGAAAACAACCTGCCCTGACCAGGCTATGCACCATTTTCCAGAAAACTATGTTTTATTCCCTTAGTGACTACTGTATTTTGGGGGAATGACCACTTTCCCAGTCTTCTTTCTGTTATGTCTTCAAGGGCCCCCAAACCCTCACTTGCTTGCAATGGTATCTCCTCACAAAGGTCTCAGATGTGTGAATTTTCATGCTGGTCACTACATGGCCTTCCCTGAAGAGGCTCTTTGAACAGATGGTAGCAACAAGCCTAACTCACATGCTGACCTCTCTCTCTGTAATAAATCTACCTCACCATCTGTCCATCATCTCAAACTGTCCTAAGACTAAGACTCCTGAACAGGCTGTACACAGACTGTGTACTGGCCAGCTGGTCTTTTGCTTTCAGGTTCCTCATCCAAGCTGTGACCCTGAAGTCTTCTGCAGCATTTGGTCCATCACCAAGGCTATGGCAATTCCTCCACCTCAGTGCTGTCAGAAGATGGTGGCTGCCATCTGATTTCTTACCTTGGCCTGGAGCAGAAAGGCTTGGTACTGAAATGGCACCATCACTGGTAAAAGCTGAATAGAGGTTCTCGCTGGAGGGAGATGGTTTAAGGGGCTGTAACAGCTGATTCTGCCCAGTCTCTGGGATGCTGCCAGGAGGGTGGAGTGTCTGCTGGGGGTGCAAGACTGAAGCTGCACTCTGAGCAGACAGGTTGCCTGTGAAAAGACAGAGTGGCATCAGGAAACAAGGGGAAGTTTCTTAGTAGTTCAGTCTTCCCACTGCACTCCATAGACACTGAGTAGGCAGGCTACAAAAAGACAAATGAGAATGGACTGCATGAAATTTTAAACCTAGCAGCAGAAAACAGAAACAAGAAATCTTGTGTTTTGACTGGTGGGTGGGATATCAGAGAGAGATAGGGATGGGAGATGATACAGAATAAGAAAGAACAAAAGTTTTGTTGACTGGAAGAAAAGCCAGGAGTGAAATTGAAAGTAACTCCCGCCCTTCCCCCAATGCTGACATTAAGTCAGAAGGTTCCCTTCATAAAACTGCCTAAGATGGCTTTTAAGACAGTTTGCCCAGAGTGGTTCACATGTCTAAGTCAAGTAAGAAAGGGCAGCTGCAGGACAAGGGGAACATGTGGTTTTCTAACTGATCACCTGACTCTGAATGGGTTTTGAAAAGAAGATTCTGTTTTTCCCTATTGAAAAAGACACTGAAATATGAGACAATTAGATTTCCAAGGCAGGCTCTGCCTAGTTTTCCTACTAAGGCAGGTATATGCCAGGTCAGATGTAAAAATGTGTGGCAAAAGGTATGGGAGGCCACTGAATGCAGAGAGTGTTTGGCACCCAATTTCTTGGCAGATGTCACTTGTACAAGTGCTGGGTCCAGTATCCTGGAAGTGAACTCTTTTTCTCATCCCTGGATATTCATCTCCTGTTCAAGTTTCTCAAGCATGAGCTGGTTTACTTGGAGTACAGGTAAGGTTAGCAGATGGCATTACTGAAGTATTTTTCTATCAGTAAGTGCTGTGAGCTGACCCTGTGATATTGAGGAAAGGGGTTAGAACTATCCTAACAGTTTTCAACACTGCCACAACACACCAGACCTTCAGGGGAGAATGTCTCTGAGAAAGGTGGAAAAAAAACAGAATTGTTTTTATTAACATGATCCTTTAAAACTAGATAATGCTCTTAGGAATTTTACTAACATTAGCTCTTACTACAGGGAATCATCATAAACACTGTTGAGACGAACAAGTTAGTTCACCAATGGCCATTCCCAGAGCATTCACAACCAACCATCACATTTAATGTAAAGCAAAAACTATCCAGCAAGAAAATAGCTATGCTACTAAATGACTTGGTATGCATTGTTCTATGATACATATTTTATTATTATTCATATGAAGTATTTTAATATATGTTATATTAACTTATATAGACATATCTAACATGTAAATATTAATAAAGTCCATTCTCAAGATACTTTTAACTATTTCCTTTGAATTATGTCGCCAGTAGGTCACTTCGATTGAATAAAATCCCCAAAAGTTATATAACTTATATACCTACCCAAAGTAGTCTTCTGTGACATGTCAATCAAATTCCCATCTCATGAATCATATGGGAGTTTCTGCTCAACACTTATTCAATGAAAAGAAAGGCATTTTTAAAAAAACGCCCACTGAACTAAGGGTGTGGGTAAACATGAGTAACACTTCAGTTGGTGGCAAAGCTGAGGACTGCTCTCAAGTAGACTTTTCACTGGAGACTGTAAAGTGGTTTCAATGTGAATTTATGCTAAAAAGGCCGTTCACTAACACCACTTCCAAGGGTAAAATGAAAGCAGGGAAGAGGGAGCTGAGAATAAGATGTAATAGTTTTACAAAATCAGCCTCTGAGAAATCAGCAAAAATGTTGAAGTGATAGATCCATTTCCATAGCTTAACAGCTTCTATACTGGAAAAAAAGGAAAGAACTAAAAGGAAACTAAAGGAAAAAAGGAGAAAAAAATGAAGGTAAAGGACATTTTTACCATTTTTATCCTGTTCTATGGTTCCTTACCTGAAAGTTGGGGGCTCTTATTTCCTAAAGAACTACTTCGGCTAGACTTGCTGCCTTTGCTTTTAGTGGGTCTTCTTCTTCTCCCTGAGAGTGGAGCAGCTGGGGGAATGATTACTGCAGGGGGTACTTTGCCCAATTTGGTATACAGAGATTCGATTTCATGTTTCTGGCGACTCTGTAGGTCCTGGATCTCTTTAAGGTGCCTAAAAGTAAAGGTCAGACTTAAGAACACATTCAACATCAAACTCCCAAATATAAGAACTTCAAATAAAAAACCAAATAATAACTTCAATTTGACAACAAATGGCAATTTCATTAATGTTTGTGAATCTAGACCTTTACATTTATCCTGAATGTAAATACTTGTTCTCAAAACTTAAGTACTTACCCTTTCCCTATTTCCACTATAATGAAAACTCCAATTTTTCTTCCCCATCTCCTCCCACCTCTATTTAAAATTCTTTAAGTTTCCAGCAAGACTAGAAGAAATGTGGTTTCTCCTGATTCCTGAGACCAAAGAGGACAAATATAGGCCAATTACTACCTAGAAAACCTTCACGATAGACATTCACCTAATAGAGGGTAATTTTAGAGTGTTTGAAAAAGCATTTGAGTTAGAGTCAGGATGACCTGAATTGAACTCTTGCCTTGGGTACTTTCAACTTATGTGATCCTGAGCCTCTGGTTCATTAGCCTCTGCCTGCCTCAGTTTCCTCAACTGAAAAATGGGGATGAAAATAGCACCTATCTCCCAAGGTTGTTGTAAGGATCACATGAAATATTATTTGTAAAGCACTTTGCCACCTTAACCTTAAAAGCTAGCTATTATTATACAGGCAGCTAGGTGGCACAGAGGATAGAGTACTGGGCCTGGTATCATGAAGACCTGAGTTCAAATCTAGCTCCAGACACTTATTAGTGTTATGACACCAAACAAGTCACTTAACCTGTCTGCCTCACTTTCCCCAACTAAAATGGGGACCTACCTCCCAGGGTGATGGTGAAGATCAAACAAGAAAATACTTGTAAAACACTCAGCATAGTGCTTGGCTACATAGCCATGGCTTAAATAAATGCTTCTGTACCCTTTTTACAGTGTCTAAGGCAGGATGGTGGTAAATAATAAAAGTTCAAAGTAACAGTATTTATAATCTCAAAAAAGTATACCTGTGAAAAGGAGTGGCATGGATACTTGTGAACAAGAGAGAGTTTAATGAAAAGTCCTTAACTTCCTATATTTCAAATTTTTTTTGTGTGTGTATGTATATCTACATCTATATATAAATATAAAAAAAAGGTTTCTCTCATGTGCATAAATCCTTATCTTTTGATAGAAAAGAGATTGCTTACACTTATGGTATTGCAGAAAGAGCTGTAGATTTGTAATCCGAAATTTTAATCTTGAATTTCTACCTGCTACTTCTTAGTTATATGACCTTGACAAGTCATAAACCTTTTTGGGGCTCCAAAATTTAGATTAGATTATTTCTAAAGTCCTTCCCAGTTCTAAGCCTCTGAATCTCTATATATACAAAAGCATAAAGGAAGAAAAATCTTACTTTTCTCGTAACCGACGTAGTTCTGACTTCAAGTCCTCATCTTCAATGTCTGATTCATTGTCACTGCTCATGTAAGAGGAGTTGAATGAATTGCTAAGGCTCTGGCTAAGGCTCTGGATGGGAAGGCTGCCTTTTGAGCCCAAATGGTGAGTAGAATGTGGGCTACCTGAACCATCATCCATATTTCTACTTAGGAAGGCAGCTTCCAGGTCACAAGATGGCCCATTAAGGTGGCTTGGCTCTGACAGTTCGGGCATTTCTTTCTTTGGTGCTACAGCAGAAGGAACAGCCTGTTCAGAATCCAATAAAGGGTGTGTCACAGGGGGCTCTCTCTCCACCACAGTGGTGACCTTGTCTTCAGTTCTTGACACAGAGAATCGGCCAACTTTGTCTGTTGTAGGTGTCACCTGAAAACGGCCAACTGTGGTGGGCTGCTCGGCTTCTGGCTTTGTCTGTGTAGCAGAACTTTTCTGAGAAGGAACACCATCGACCACATCTGAGGAGGTGCCACATAGAGCTGTGGCAATTCCACCAGGCTCCTGCTTCACCAGAGTGTTTTCTGGGCTGCTACTTGACAACACTGAGGATTCTGAAGTGCTTGATTCAAAATGTACAGACTTTACTTCTTCTGACTTACTTCTGCTCTCCTTCAAGGAATCATCTACTGCAACTGATACCTGGTAGTTAAAACAAAAAAAAAGACTAACTTTCAGGATAGACTAAAAACCAAAAAACAAGCCCAAATCAAAGCTGCATAACCCACATGATAGGAGATTCCATTTCCCTGTCAACTATATCCAATCCCTTCATTTTGGGAAAAGAAAGCGTTGAATCTCCTCCTTCCATTACTTCTAACCTAATCCTTCCCCTTACTATCTGAAGTTTTTTTTTTTAAATGAAGAAATACCCAGAGCAGCAGGGCAATTTTAAGGTAAGATTTAAGACAAAACCTTTTAGAAACTCAACTAAATTCATTAATAACTTATTAAGCACCTACTAGTATAAGGCATTGTACTGAATACTGGGAATGCCTTCAAGGAGCCCTACTGAATGGGGGGAAGGAGGTGCTGAGAGGGAGAAATACAACATGTGCTCAGATGAGGAAGTACAAGATTTTGAGGCAAAAGGGACCATTACCAAGCAGATGAAGAAAGGCTTCCCATAGGAAGTGGTACCTGAGAGTTAAGCCTTGAAGGAAGACTAAGATGCCTCCTTCAGAGGCAAAGGGGAAGAGGGAGTGTACTCCAGGCACGGACACAGCCTGTACAAAGGTAGGAAACAGAATACCAGACTGGGAAAACAGCTTGGTTAGAATATATTGGATGTATGAAGGAGACTAACGTGAAAAATTCTGAAAGGTACTCTACAGCCAGATTGTGAAAGACAAGGTGAGGAGTTTGTATTGGTTTCTAGTCCTGGTTCTGCATGTTATTAGAGAAGTGATTTTTTAGAAATTAAAAAAAAAAATACAAACCTGTTAGTCATTGTATTCCCCTGGTAGATCCTCAAGAATATTCCTGATCACTGGCACAGAGCTAACTCTGGGTTCTTGAAGATTAATATTATGCCAGTGAAGCTTTCATATCAGTTTATTCATGTTTATAACTGGCAATCATATAATTTATACAACCTACGAGACAGATGACTAAGTTTTTGAAAAGAATGTCTCACCTGAAACCGGCCCATCTTAAGAACACTGGCCTCTGAGCCGGTCATTATGGTATTATCCTCTATGCTCTGAGCTGCTGAAGGAAGTAGAGAAATAAAGATGACAAAGAAGTTTAAATTATCTTTTTAATCATATCTAAGAGGATGAATCTAAACAGTTTAATTTTATTTTATACAATGCTGTATTCTTAAGTTAGGTGCTGAAAAAAGTAGTTAAATATAGGATAGGCTTAAAGTCGGCTGAATTCCAAGAATGTGATCATTTCTGGGGACCAATCACAGTGATCATTTTGTTGGAGATAGCTATTAATGTTATTCTAATTGTTCTTTTAGTTTTGTTAACCCCAATTTCCAATTGCATAAGCTTTTTCTAAAAAGTATTACTAATCTACTCCCAGTCTCACTAGAGGATCAAGGACCTAAATAGGAGCCCGATTTTGAATTGTGCTGGGCCCAAGGTGCCATACTGTACCTCTCTGAGCTGGTACTACCACTGGCACTGCCCCAGCAGCTGATGTTGGAGCCACAACTGATGTGGGCTGCAAGACAAAATTTAAAGGGAAAAAAAAAGTTCAGTTTTTTGGTTGTTTCTTACTACAGTTTGCTAAAGTCAAATACTTTGAAATATAGTCCAACTTTTATCCCAATTTAGAAGACATATTATTAACCTTGAGGAACAGCCAAGTTTTGTCATTACAGATGACAAGATGACTTTTAAAACCTTCTAATCCAGTAGATTCAGTCTACTAACTATAATCAGTACCTTCTTTTTTTTGCTTTTGTAGGAAGACAAAAATTATACATACATGTGTGTGTGTGTGTGTGTGTCATGGAGGATCCAAATGTACCAGAAAACCTGATCTTGCCATTAAATCAACCTAGAAAGCTAATGTATCTTTCTTATTAAATTATCTAAATATAATTTTTAGGAGAAGCAGTGAGCTTTTAAAGCTTTTTTTTTCGGGTGGGGGGCCCTAGTCAATGGGGTTAAGTCACTTCCCCAAGGTCACACAGCTAGTAAGCGTTATGAGTCTGAGGCTAGATTTGAACTCAGATCCTCCTGACTCCAGGGCCAGTGCTCTATCCACTGTGCCACCTAGCTGCCCCTTAAAGCTCTTTTATGACACATTTTTTCCTTAGTCTATTTCAGAAAGTACCTCAGACATTCATTCAAAGGGAAGTATTATCCTTTAGGACCTTTTTATCTCCTCCAAATGTTAAATAAATAGAAGTTAAAACTTCAATTTAAGATGTCATATATGTATATGTATACACACACACACACACACACACACATATTAAACCATGACACCCCTACCCCTAACATTCAAGTAGTTTCAGAGAAACTAGACAGGTCCAAGGATTACTCTCAAACCTAAGCTCTTCTTTTAGAATTAGCCGGTGAAAACACAGCTTAGCTGAGTAAATAGTACAATTAAACACCATAGATTTCCATCCATTTACCCCATCATCATGACCATGTATCATACTTATATGTAGCCACACTCTGCCAAAATCTTCTTAAGAGTATTTCTACCTGTTTGAATTACATTTCTGGGAGCATAGTATCCTGGGAGGGAAGGAGACAGGCTACTTTGGAGCTCTTTGAACTTACAGCAACTGAAGATGTGAGTGGGACAGTCTCTGGACTAAGGGCTCTTCTTAACTGAGCATCAAGATCTTCTAGAGGTTGCTGAGACTGAAGCAAAAATACCCACTAATAAGAATGTCTTAGGCACATTAGCAAAATCAACAGCTAATTTATAAGGCCTATTTACTTTGAAAGACTGACACAAGTACTTTATAATCTAGATTTAATACAAGTTTTGGAAATGAGATGCAACATTTATTTATTCACAGAAATGAAAATAAAAATTTAATCTTTATATTGTAAGGCTGTTTCCAAATTCACTATCACCTTTTCAATAAATCTGCACCCAGAAGACAGATTTTGTATTCTTTAATGTACACAGAACTGTAGTTACCTATCTTTATCACATCTTACCTATTTCCATTTACTTTTTCCTTCAGTTTTATAAAACCCCAACTACAGGGTGAATGTATTGTCATTTAACACATTATTTTTGAAAAATGATTTTTTGATACTTTAAAAAAAATTGTTGTCAGCTGCCAGTATCACTCCCCCTCTCTTGTAAGAATAAGTACAGTTTAAGCAAAAACAAAACAAAAAACAATCCGGACACAATTATCATGTCTGAGAACTTATGTCTATGCAGAGTACTTTTCTTCTGAGGAGGAAATTACTTAAGACTTATCAATCTTCTAAAGTTGAATATTAATAACACATTATTCAGAAGATCATCATCAAGGAATCAAGGTAGAAACAAGCACTACTTCCCCACGAACAAGAGGCTCTATTTACCAACCTGCTTTCATCTATAATATCTGGTTTAAGAAAGTTTAAACTCTTTCCCCTTTCTGTGAGAAAATAAATGACAGTTTTTTTTATAGGAATTCTATAGACTTGCAAATATGAAACCTGGCTTCAAAACCTGGTTTTTACTTTTACTAGCTAGGTAATCTTAGGTCACAAACTCTGAGCAACAGTTTTAGGTGGAGATAACATTTGTGCTACTCAAAACTCACAATGTAGCTGTGAGGGGAAAGCACTATACAAATGTGAGCTATTACTACCACTGTCACCACAGAGGACTTGCTTCAAAAAGACTGGAGCAGGCTGGCGATTCTAAGTCTTATATAATTCAACACAACTGAAAACAGAAATGTATCATAAGATGAGGCAGTATTCAACTTATAAAGGCCAAATTTATGACTGAATGAGTAAGCTGAAAGAATTCCTTAGGAATTTTCCTCTTCTTTCTCTTGGAAACCTGTCCTACTTGGGACTCCTACTGCTTTTCTTTACCTTGCTGCTCAGTTCTACCACCTTTCAAATACTGATAACCAGTCTCAATTCTTGTCCAACCCTATCACCAAATAGGAATAGAAGGAACAAAGGGAAAACCTTATACCTGTCTTTTCTCACTTTTTCTTCTCACCCTTAATTCTCCAACCCCTACACTCTATACCTTCAAATCCTTTTTTCAGTTCATTAACTATCATGTCTCTCAGCCCCTATACCCCTGGTCCTAACTGCCCTCAGCTTTCTGCCTTATTCTGTTCTTCCCCCCTCCAAGAGTCCCCAGTTCTTGTTCCTAATTATCCCTCCTCTATCCTTATCTGGTAATACTCCTGGAGTTCCAAACTGAGTCTTTTTAAGACTTGGAACACATTTTTATTAAATTTGGTGATGGCTGGAAATTGTAGATTTTCTATTTTAATAGTTCAACATTTCACAAGTACACTCATAAAATCAGAATTAGAGCAATATGGTTACTAAATTCAAAAGACCGTCAACTACATGTAATTGATGTATCAAATAAAGCTTACATGTCATCATCTTGGAGGTAAAATACTAATTTGAATAATTATGAACTTGCTTATTCACAAATACTGCTGAAGGTAAGGTTGGTATTTTTAAAGAAAGTCATACCTGACTGGACAAATACACATAATTTTGCCGTTACTTCCTTTGTATCACAGAATGGTATATCAAATTAGAAGTTTCTATATGACCTACTGGAAATATGCAGCAATATCCTAAATATATTTTAGAACTTAAATAATCCTTTAATAATATCATTAAATAGTTTCAGGTTCTTTCTAATATGCCAGCCCTGAAAGCTCTGTAGCACTGCTGTTCTACAGCAGGGGTCAGCAAACTACCTGGGAGCTAAGAATGGTTTTTACATTTAAAAAAATAAAGGTTTATTGTATATAAAAGTAGTTCTTAGCTTTCAGACCATACAAGAACAGGGAGAAGGGTTGAGTTTGGCCTAAGATTGCCAACCCCTGTTCTAGAGAACAAATACTACAGAACTTTGAAGAAATCGTGTTTTGGAAATTATCAAAAACTTCTCAAATAGTGAATATCTTTAACTTTGGTTGTGTGGAGGAAGATAATTTGCTAGTAAAACTTTGGGCTTTGAGAAATAATTTTTCAGAATAGATTCAAAACTACATTGAAATAAATGTCTCAGAGTCATCTTCCTAGTTAGGATTTTTTTTTTTTGGCAAGGCAATTGGGGTTAAGTGACTTGCCCAGGATCACACAGATAGTAAATGTCAAGTGTTTGGTCTCAGACCACATTTGAACTCAGATCCTCCTGACTTCAGGGCTGGTGCTCTATCCCACTGCACTACCTAGCTGCTCCTCATCTTCCTAGTTAGGGTATCTAACACCCTAAATAGAAGAACTGTATACCCTCTCAGTTTAGATGGGATCTGGACCACTAGGCTCAAGCACTATTTCAAAAACCTTCAGTGGAAGGGGGTTACTCAGTCAAGAGAGAAAGAAAAATGGAGAAGCTAATATCATGCAATGAAGAATTTAACCATGCATTCTGAAAGACAAAAAAGCAAGAGAGAAAGAATGAATTCTGCCAAGTCATGGAGCACCTGTGTTAGTGAAGGTCCTGGAAAAGGTGGCAGCTGCTCACTGGGTGGGGTACTAGATGGAAGTTCAGTACCTACCGGCAGCACCTATGGACAATGAATGGAAATTTTAATGTAATAACTAGAAGAAGGCTCAGGAGGTTACATCTACTGCATATTAAGGAATAACACATCTAATTTAAATGAGTTGACACAAGATTACAGAAACAAACCAAACAAAAACCAAAAAAAGCCTGAGACTTGCCAGAAACTATGTAATTGATTGTAAATTGTTCAGCAGAGGAAAGATCCACTGGGGAATAATGTAGTTATTATATATCTGGTAAATTACTTCATGGCTTTAAGTTCTAGTTATGAACAAAGAACTTTTGATACTTTTATTGTAGAAACTCCAACAAGTAAAAAGAGTGATATATAGTAGAAGGATTCCTCCTATGGAAAGAGGACAAACTGACCAGCATATAATCCAGGAGTGCTGAGATCAGGCGTCAACTCTACTCAGCTGATCTTAAACCACTTATCTTGAAGTTTAACATTGTCATGTTTGTTAAGACAAACAGAGGACTTTTAAGACAGGTAAACTCTTTCTGCTTGGTTCTACACTTAGTGGAGACCTAATTTGACAATGCAAAGATAAGTTCTTTTCTATCAGGAACAAGATACTTTCAGTCTGGGTCAAGTTTCTGCCTGCCTGTCATTTTTACAAAAATTCTGTGGCAGTATCAGATTAAAAAGATGACTGGAACATGCAATGTAGTTAGAAGAAATCCAGTCAGGTTATATGAAAACTGTCAAAAGAGATCGAAGATGCCAGAATCAGGAAAACCCATCATAGCAGAATCAGAAAGTATATTCCAGTTAGTAATTTTGTTACTAATACCGGGGTTCTAACTCTTATACTAATTTGATCACCAACATTCAATTACTTTAAAACTCTAAATCTTAAATCTTGATTTTATAGCAGTGGGAAAAAATGTGCTACTTTAATAGCTGGCTTCATGGACTAGTGATCTCCCCTTTCTCTATACTGTAGATGACAGATAAAAAATTCTTTTGGGAGGGTAAATTTTATCTGAACCAAATGGGACAAATGTGTGTGTGGTATCCAAGGTAAAATTCCTAGAAGTTAATAAATTTCAAACTAATGAAATATGTGTGCACACACACACACTCCCTTTTAATGAAATCCAAACATATAAAATGAATTCAGTCTGTCAGCAGAACTTCTATAAGCCTCTGAATCTGTTTTCATAACCATATTTCTACTCTGTTGGGACCTAGGGTTATTATGCATAAAAAATTTTAACTCTATACTTGACAGAAAATCCATTATTTTAGTGTATTAAGAGAAGAAACTATGTAAAATGAATCCCTAAGAATCTTACCGGTACCCTGGTAAGAGGTGGCTTTGAGGGAGGCGTTCCAGGTTTCACCCCTGCTGCAATGCTGGTAGAGGCTGGAACATAGCTGACTGGAGTGGCAGCTTGCCCGGGTGTGACCACTGGTGTAACAACTGGCAAACCAGTAGTTGTTCCTAGAGGCAAACTGCTTGGTGGTAAGCAAGTACTTGTGGTGGAAGTCATGAGCTTGCTTGGTGCGACAGCAGTGGTTGGGATGCCTGGCATGACTGTGGTCTCCACTACCAATGACGTCTCCAGTGAGACAGGGGCATGTTGGGCTCCAACAGAACTGTGTTCACTGAAGAGAGACCGCAGTTTTTCTTCCAGAGTCTTTATATCATCAATACCAGGGGCTTTGGGTTGTGTATCAGTATCTATTTCTGGGCAGTGGGTGTGGGGCTGGTTGGGAAGTGAAGCTGGTTGGGGTTGACTATGGATTAATGTCTGCTGTACAGCAGGTACACTGGTAACAGGCTGTGCTAGGGGCAGGATACCAGGTAAAGGTACCTGCGGCAACACCGGGGTGGAGATGGCCCCTCCTGCCTGTGAAAGGACAGGAGGAGAAGCAACAGCAGATGGGACTTGCAAAGGATGCACTGCACTGGGCTGATTAGTTGAATCAGATATACCGGCTCCAGAGGAAGACGAAGCTACAGATACAGGCAGGGATAGCCCCACAACACTGCTAAGGGGTGGCTTCTCTGATAAATGTGTGCCATCATGCTTGGGATGGAGTGCACTAACCACCACTGTTTCAGCTAGACTAGGGGCAGAGCTGCTGCTACTGAGCTGAAGAGGTGGCTGCAAAGCCGTGCTTGGGAATGGAGTGGTGGTAGATGCGGAAGCCAGGGTGGTTGCTATAGCTATACTTGCTGCAATCTGGGTAGGCTGAGAAGTCATAGCTGGGGTGACAGCACCTGGGGGAACAGCACTGCCTATTCCAGGAACTGGAGGTACTGATACTGCTGCAGGAGGAAAAGTGCCAGCACTAGACATAACTGCCCCAACTGGTGGGGCTTGAATTGATTCAGTTGTAGTAGACAATGACACACCTGCAGGAATAGTAATGCTGGAAACCACACTGGTAATTAAGGGTGGTCCAGACACTTGTGGTACAGGGAAAGAGCTTGAAGTTAATACACCTGCACTGGAGGCAACTCCTGCAATTACCTTTTCAGTAGGCATGGTGACCACAGATTGAATGACTGGTGCAGAAACACTATTAAAAGGGCTACTTGTTGCAGGGACTGATACTGAAGGCACAGCTGTTGCTGTGGGAGGGAAGACTACAGCCATGCTAGTCATGGTGGGAGGTACAGTTGGAAAGGTTGGTCCTGCATGGCTGAAGTTTGGGGGAGCTGTACTGGGTCCTTCTGCCATTTGAGCATGCCTAAGTTCAGAGAATGCCTGTTGCAAACTAAGGGATGAAGCAGAATGAGACAGATTCATTACAGGGCCATGGGATGGAGCAACGGCAGCTGCAAAGGAAAACAAACAAAACACAAAAAATGAAGTTAGTTTATTTTTTAAAAAGGTTAGGAACACAACATGGTTCAAAATTCTATTAAGCTCACCAACATGAAGATAAACTAGCACTCTGCTAAAGGGACAGATATTAAAATAGTAGAGATTTTGTACACAGGTCATCTGGCCTGGGCACCCAATCCTAAATAAGGATGGAGGAATTCAGGTTACAACTATGTATAACCATATGGAAGAACTATCTACTCACAATTCACTATATGTTCTATGATCACCAAAGTTACTCTTTCTTGTGCTGTTTAAGCCTCCTACACTTGTCAGGTATCCATTAACCTTCCCACTTTAATTGTGCCTCACGTTTATCTGCTATTCTTACTTCAAATTTTCCACCTGTCTGTGGACTCACCTATGTCTGACATTTCACTGGATGTAGCGGTGAAAAACACTGATTCTCGTAACCGACTCTCTGGCACAGGACTCACTATGAACCGCCGTCCAGCTGAATGTACAACTTGAGTTAAGGAACTGGAGGAAACACCTAAATAAGAAAAAAAAACAGTGTATTATTCTTCACCTGGCTTCAATCTTGACTCAAAAGAAGCTCATAAGTTTTATTATTAGAACATAAAGAGAGCACCTAGGTAGCTGACTGCTATTTGTTTTCTAAGAAGTTAAATGCCAAAACAAGACAATGTGGAAAGCTGAAAGGAAGCTTACCTGCTCTCTGAGGCACAGAAGATGCAGGATTTGGTTGCTTGAACTCTCCCTCCAATTTCTACAACAAACAAAAATTCAGTCACTTGTGCACCACAGCTCCCAAGTCCTACATAATGACTGTTCATTAAACCAAATTAAGGCTTTAGCTGTATATCTCTGGGTATTGGTTCAGGAAACTGAAACTAGCATGATATCCAACTGGTAAGTCAGTCAGCTAGCATTTATTAAGGGCTGATTATGTGTCAGGCACTTTGCTAACTCAATGTTGAGGATATAAAAAAAGGTAAAAAGGACAGTCCTTGCTCTCAGAAAAATTACCTTGTAATGGGGAAACAATATGCAAACAACTGTGTACAAACAAATACGTATAGGATAAAATGGAGATTATAAACACAGGAAAGTCACTAGCATTACAAGGGATCAGAAAAAGCTTCCTGAAGACAGGACTTAAGTTGAACAGAAGGAAGCCAGGAAAGCTAGGGCATAGAGATGAGGAAGCAGAGAATTCCAGGGATAAGGGACAGCCAGAAGAAATGCCTAGAGTCAAGAGATGGAGAGTCTTGTGTAAGGAACATCCAGGAGGCCAGTGGCACTGGATAGCAGCAGAATAAGGTAAGGGAAGGGGGGGTGTAAGGAGTAAGAAGACTGGAAAGGTAGGAAGGGGCCAGATTATGGAGGGCTTTAAAAGCCAAACAAGATCTTAGAGGAGCCAGTGGAGTTGACTGAATGGTGGTGGTGGTGGTGGTGGTGGTGGTGGTGTGTGTGTGTGTGTGTGTGTGTGTGTGTGTGTGTGTGAGATACAGGTTCACACCTATGCTTTAGGCAGACAAATTATACAGCTTACGAGGAGACAATGGAGTAGGGAAACACTTGAGACAGACAGACTCACCAGGTAGGCTGCTGCAATAGTCCAAGTGTGAGGTGGTGAGGGCCTCTGCATCAGAGTGATGGCAGTGTCAGAGGACAGAAGGGGATTTATGTTAACGATGTCACAAAGATGGAAATGATAGGTCTTAAGAAATTATTGGATATGGCAAATGACAGAGAATTAAGTCTAGGGATGATACCTTGACTGTGAGACTGGGTGACAGGGAAGATGCAGGTACTTTCCACAGTGATAAGGAAGTTAGGAAGAGGGAGGGTTTGGGGCAAAAGATAATGAATTCATTTTTGGACATGGTGAACTCAAGAAGTCATCAATGAGAAACCTAATTTCAGACTGGTAATATAAAAATAGGTAGCTAAAGATGCGAGACTGGAGGTTAGGAGCAAGGATAGGGCTGGACAAATAAATCTGAAAATCATCTGAATAGAGATGAAAATTATAACCATGGGAGTTGATGAGATCACCAAGTGAAATGGTATAGAGGCAGAAGAGAATCCAGGATAGAGTCTTGAGGGATACCCACAGAAGTATGACCTGAATAAAGATCCAGCAAGGGAGACTGAGGAATCGTCAAATAAATAGCAGAACTAGGAGAGAACAGTGTCATGGAAACCTAGAGAGAAGAGAGTATCCAGGAGAAGAGGGTGATGGGCACTGTCAGTGCAGAAGTTAAGAAGGATGAGGACTCAGAAAAGGCCACTAGATTGGATAATTAAGAGATCATTGGTAACTTTGGAGAGAATAGTTTTGGTGGAGTGATGATGTCAGGAGCCAGAATGCAGAGAATTAAGAAGGGAGTGAGAGGAAGGAAGTGAAGACATCAAATTGTATGTAGATAACCTTCTCAAGCAGTTTAGCCAGAAAAGGGAGAAGAAATACAGGATGATAGTTAGGAGGAAGGGATAGATCAAGTGAGGGTTTTTTGAGGATGGGGTTTTTGAAAATAGGTAGTAGGGAAGTAGCCAGTAGAAAAGGAGAGACTGAAGATAAGAGAGAGTATAGGGTTCATGAGGTTGAGAATCTATTGATGAAGATGAGATAGAATGAGATCACTTTGTACATGTAAAGGAGTTTGCCTTGACAAAAACCACCTCTTCATGTGAGCCAGGGATGAAAGAGAAGAAAGTATTGGAAAGGATCTTAGTGATGTGAGTGAGATGAGGAAGAGGGCAAAAGCAGGACCTCTTTTTTTTTAAGTGAAATATGAGGTAAGGTTGTCAGCTGAGAGTACTGGGTGGGTTAGGAGGGGAAGAGAGCCATGGGTGGTTTCAGAAGGTACAAAAAGATCTGCGAAAGTTGCTGTGTAGAGTTAATTAGGGAGGTGTAAAAGGAATGCCTTACTGGGCCCAGTTGAGATTGCATAAGCAATAATCTCAGAAAGTATGAAATAAAAAAAATCAATTCCTAGATTTATATTATTGTTCCTAAGTTGTCAAAGATTAGTTGTTAAAGACACCAAATCCCTGTACCTGTAATATTCTAAGTAGGCTTTTAAGAACCCTCATAGAGTGACAATACCTGGGATCCTGAAAAGCCGTAGTCATCCTTTGCTTGTAAGCCCTCTGATCCTTGGTCACCTTCTGGTTCCACACTAACGTCCTCACTCAGCATTTCATCAGCCTTTTCAATGATTTCTCGCACCTGATCCACAAATGAGTCTCTCTCTGTTGCTAGAATAAAATCGTTGTTCACCTATAAAAGAAACAATTTCTGAACGTTCTTGGTAAATAGGGCCTATGATTCTTGTGTATCTAACCAAACAAACTTCTTGAAAAATGTTCATTTGGAATTCCTGGATTTAAGAACTTTCCATCTCTGGAAAGTACTCACTCTCAACTCTAAGACAAGTATAAAGCGGTGAGAGGAAGAAGACTCATCATCAAGAGGTCAAAAAGATAGCACGCACACCACTAAGTTATTTAAAAGAGGTATGAATTCCAATTCCAATCTCCAGGGGGAAAATCATATGCAGTTTAAATCAGACTTTCAGCTTCATGGAAAAATAAACCAAGAATCCTTAAGTATGGGCAGCTTGTACTTGCTTTGGTTTAATAAAACAGTCACATGCAGATAAATCTTTGACTTCTCCACATGTTCTAGCATTGCTAAAACATTTCTGTTTGCTTCTACTAAGAAAGCAATACAAATATTTAAAAGGTAAATGTTTATTCTAAAAACAAGGTTTAGATTCTTAATTTATTACTTATGAAAATTTGTTTTCTAATACAGTCTTTATATTCATTGTGCCATGGGATTTCACTGCAGTGTCCAATATCCATTCTGGTGAATAGCTGTTCTCCATTTCCACTGAGAAGAGAATTGCAGGGTAAGGAAATTAGGCTTGGGATAAAAGTGAGAATCCTAACTACCAAGTTTGAGTCACTGGAATAGGTTACAACAAAGAAAACTTCCAAATTATCTCTAGGAAGGGAAAAATCACAATTCCACCTCTACTCTAAATAGCTTAGTGCTTGATCCATTTTAATAATAAAGTATTTGTAAACTAACCACATACAAGCCTATATAAGACAATGTAAAAGATCAAACTAAGGTCCTGAAGAATGCAATAAGCACATAATGAAAATGGAAGAAGGCCTTTCATTCCATTCTTGATGATAAGGATCCTGAAGCAGAGACAAAAAAAAAATCTGAGGAACAACACATATGACTGACTTCACTGGCACTTGGTTTTTCTCCCAGGGAGTTTGTATTAAGTTTTAAATAAGAAGATAAGGACCCAAACATCAGCCAATGTCACTATACCATAATTGATGCTATCTCTTCAGGATTATCACCATCCAGGTCAAATTTGAATGTAACCATTTTCCGGTTGTGAGTCTCTAACTGGCATTCCACTACTCTGTCTCCTTTGTTTGATACCTGAAAGAACAAGAACATCTTATGGGATAATGTACTATTTTGTTATCAGAACTTGGGTCTTAAAGGTAATCTACTCCAACTCCTATGTTTCACAGTTACAGAAACAGGCATTTTGCCTAAGATCATACAGGTATTAGTTAGCAGAGGACAGAATGCTTTTAGGGGAATAGCTACTCATTCAATTTGATGAGAACAAAGAATAGAAAGTAATGCTGAATAGACTGGAAAACGGGCAGAACTGGAGGGACCTTACATATTTGATCAAATAATTTACATTCCAACCTGGAGGAAATGGATAGCCACCAAATTTTTGAACAAGGATAATATGTGATCAAAGCCAGAACAACGCAGTCAGAACATTATTCTGTTATTAGTGTGCAAGATAGCGGAAAACAGGATAAGATTAGCACTTGATTTCAAAGTTGAAGTATAAGTGCTGCCACTACTCATCAAAGTAAGAGTGGACACCACTATGTTCCTTTCTTTGTGGAGTGAGCAGCAATATGACCCTCAGCATGCTGTTATTACCCTGGTCCTCAAACTACTCACTAGTCTCCCACTGAATGGTTTGGGAGGAATGAACAAAAAGGCCACTAACTTCTTTTAAAATGAGTGCTTTGAGCTATTTTCCTGTATGCACCATGAAGAAAAAGAGAAGTACTTTTCTCTAGAAATATGGTCAAAGGAAAAGTTACTTGGACAAAACAAAGGATTTTAAGCTTTCTTACTCCGACACTTCAAAGGTCTCTAATTTCTCTAATGTGAGTTCTTTTTTGCACTGATGGAGATGACAGACCCTCTGCATCTTAGCAGGTGGTTTTTGTTCAGTCATATCCTGACTCTACAAGACCCTATTTGGGGTTTTCTTGGCAAAGGTACTGGAGCAACCGGTTTGTCATTTGCTTCTCCAGCTCATGTTACAGATGAGGAAGTGAGGGCAAACAGGGTTAAGAGACTTGCCCAGGATCACACAGCTACTAATTATCTGAGGTCTCATTTGAACTCACGAAGATAAATCTTCCTGACTCCAGGTCCAGCATTCAATCTACTGTGCCACTTAGCTGCCGCACTTCTGAGAGTTACTTTGTCCAAAAAATTTATTATCCAGCCCGTGGCTAACGTGGTGATAAACTTTTCATAAATACATTTTAATTTTAGGTCAGTCTTTCATATAAATAATCTCATTGTTTGATTGTGTATTCTTTTTTTTAGAGATGGGAAAACAAAGAAAAAAGTCTAACAAGGTATCATTGATATTGTACTATTCTTGAAATACTTTGATAATACTAAAAGTACAGCTATATGTAAGGGATACATTTACTCTACAGGACTTCTGTAGTGATATAATAATTCAGCTTGCAATAGACCAAGGAAGAAGAGGGGAAGCAGTTAAACTATTTACTGCTCTAAAATTCAAGAGGCAGCATGGTATAGTATAATAAATCTTGATTCTACTTTGGCCTTTGCTATTAAAAAATGTATGACCTTGGGGCAGGCCATTTAATATCTCTAGGCCTTAGTTTCCTCAACTGCAATATGAAGAAATAGGCTCAGATAATTTGTAAAGTCCCTTCTAGCCCTAACTTCTCATAATATAGGATGAAGTCTGAGAGGCTTATACTTACATTAAGAATTCTCAATTTGGGGCGAGTAGTCTTCTCATGACGAGAACGACTGCGTACAGATTTCCGATAATGACGTTTTGTAGTTCTCCCTTCATGTCTCCCACTGGATGATGGAACATTCTCATTCCCATCACTCATACCTGAAGCAACATCTGAATGTGCACTAAAAAAGGAATGAAAACAGCTTGCAGATTTAGGTCTTACAAATGATGTAATTTTAAGATTAAAAATGGCTTCATAGATCTGAGTCCCTCCCAGCCACAGTTCAAGGAAGGAGAATTTCTAGTTGTACGCTTACCTATCTATAGAGGAGACCAATGTGGTGGTCTGTGGCTGTGCTGTTGGCACAGGTTCTGGAGGACTTGACTGGGAAACACCTTGAGTACTCTGTGAAAAGAAAGAATGATTAGAGCACTGCCAGTCAAAATTTTATGTCTCTTCCATCACCCACTAAGCTACCCTTAAGAATTCTTCTATTCCTCCCCTTAAGCCTTAGAAGCACTACCTCATTAGGAAAGTCTTCGACATTCAGCATCTAGATAGTCATCTTACAACTCCAAAAGGAGGATTCTATTGGCCAGTCTCTGGTACAGACTGCACAGTGAGATCAGCCATCATGTCCACTAGACAGTGTGACACTACAACTTGCCATGCAGCCAGCATCTTACCAGAAGAATGTGCAACAGGGCAGGCAGAGCAAAGTGCAAAGATGATTCAGATCTCTCTCCTAGCAGGGTAAAAGGGCTGCTGGGAGCACAGCAGGATGAGATACTCTCAGGACTGCCAACGGCAAGAGAGTTGGTGAGAAGACAAGAATAAGATCTACAGAACTAGCCAGAAGTGAAGTGCTAACAAGGCTAAGCCTCTTGGAGGCACACTCACTTCCCAACAGAACAGCCAGTGGCAACAAGGCCCCCACATTGGCATGTCATTCTGCTGTAAGAGAAAGTCATTCAGGAGTTAGTTGGTAATGGTGTCCAAATGAATTCCAAGAAAGGAGAACCCAAATTTACACTGGCCTATAATTTTTATCCCCTCATATTTATGCTTCCCACACACACATGCAGAGATTTCATTTACCTCCAGAGCTGCTTGCTGGGAGGGTGCAGCAGAGGGGGCCTGCTGTGCTAAGCTCATTGCTGAATGGGGTACTTGAACCTGTCCTCCTAGACCACCCACTGGAACTAAAACACTTGGCTCCACATAAGGCTGCACAACTGCAGGAAGGTACCCTGGTGGAGCCAACACTTCCGTGGGCAAGGGAGGGGACAAAACTGTAGAAGGAACGCAAACAGAAGCCACGGTGGAGGAGGGAATAATATTTGAGTCTCCTGGGTATTGAGGTGGCAGTCGAGGTGGGAAGCCCTGTGACAGAAATGAGGGAGCTGAGTTAGTGCAGGCTGGGTCATCAAATAAGCAAACCAGCAACAGACATAAAACAATCACATACAGCAGGGAGGAGTTAAAGCACAATCCCTTACTCTATTTTCACCACATCCAAAGATCATTTTCGAGAGCAATGTTAGGTGACTGGACAAACATGGATTTTTGAAAGAGAAAGGATAGCTCTTCAGATTCCTTGCAGAAAAGCAATACTGGTATATCTTTTGATGATCTCAAATAGGAGACCATTCAGGCTGTTATGGTTACTTGATTAGCCTTCTGGAAGTTAAATAATTGGTTCCCCTACTATCCCTGGGAAGTCTTTTTTTGTTTTTATCAAGGAAATGGGCTATAGTAATCTTTATATACTCAGGCGAGGCAACTGGGGTTAAGTGACTTGCCCAGAGTCACACAGCTAGGAAGTATTATGTGTCTGAGGCCAGATTTGAACTCAGGTCCTCCTGACTATAGTGCCCGTGCTCTGTGCCACCTAGCTGCCCCCAATATTTCATTTCAAAGAAAAACAACACAAACTCAGCCTTAGCTGTTACAGACTAGGTAGACACAAGATTAAATGTTGAACTTTTATTCTTATTATCATGTTGACTGTTCCATTACAGGTTACTGAAACAACCAGAGACTAGTGAATTCTCACATTCAGAATACTAGTTTATCCATTTCTCACAACAGAACAATCTAAGTTGAATGCTGAAGTTATCGTCTTGCTTTCTTAAATAGCTGTGTATCTTACACACAGATAGAAACATCCAGGATGTCCCCCTCTCTCCTTATCAAAATATGGTTCAGAAAATGGCTATGCTGTTTGGTACTGCTGAACTCTTCTATTTTTACAGTTGGAATCAATAATCTTTGCTGACATGTTATATTACATGGAACACAAAATTAAAATTTTCAGGTGTTAAGATTATTACAACTAAACCCTTGTACCATCTGCCTTCTTTTTTCCTTTCTGGTGAGGCAATCAGGGTTAAGTGACTTGCCCAGGGTCACATAGCTAGTAAGTAAGTGTCTGAAGCCGGATTTGAACTCAGGTCCTCCTGATTCCAAGGCTGGAGCTATATCCACTGCGCCACCTAGCTGCCCCTACCATCTGCTTTTAGTTCTTTAAAGGACTCACGCATATCTTTTCCTCTAGGTGGATCTCCACATACAACTATAATCTTGAGGTCAGGCCTAGACTCTAGAAGAACTGACCCTGGAGTTTTGCTTACTCTAGCACAATACCTGGTATAGAGAATCTCCAGAGGGAAGTGAAGCCTCAGCAGCTTGTCCAAGGTTAGCTGGTATTCCTATGGACTGAACTGCTGGCTGAAGGAGCTGTGGGTGAGCCTGACTTGGCAGCTGAGTCACAGGCTGCAGAAGAGTGGGAAGCTGACTAGGGACCACAGTTGATCCCACAGGGATAGCAGCTGCTGCAGCAGATGAGGCCAAGGTGAGCAGAGGCTGGTTAATACCAGATGCCATAGAGTTTGGCAGGGATGAGAAACCTGTCTGAGCCACAGAGACATGAGGAGTTGATATGGGAATCTGAGAGACTGAGAACTGAGGGAGTAAAGATGCTGGAACTGGCTGGCCCACGGGAAGGAAGTGAGCACCAGAGAGAGATGGGGTAACTGAGGGTTGTGCAAGGGAAGGTGCTGCAACTGGTATCTGAGGTTCGCCTTGGATGGTCGATAATGGCTGGGAAACAGGAAGCTGGGAAAGTAAAGAAAAAAATACATAGACTTTTTTTTTTAAAGGAAGCAAAGTAGCCAAAAGCAAGATTTATTTATTAGCCAAAAGAAGAAAAAAACTTAAAAAACCTCTAGTACCAATGTCACTAAAGAACACGATGGGGATTACTGTTAGAAAAATAGCTGGCAGAGTGACTATTGTCCCAAATGGTTATATTTTCAGGGAATTTTGTTATTGTTTTCTTTCTAGGCACTAAAAATAGGACTACTTCACAAATAGGTCTGCTGACATTGACCAGATTTGTAAATATAATCAGACTGATCATAAAAAAAAATTGCATACATGTTCCAAATCAAAACTTCTTTTGTCTCTAGTAAGAAGTTACTGACTTTGTTCACATTGCTTTTAGGATCTTTGGTCTAATACTGATAGTGCCTTGAACTTTTCCCCCAGTATCTGTTAATGAACAAACTGGCGACAAACCACCGTGCCAACATACAACAAAAGGAATTGTCACAAAGCATAACAAACATTAATGAAATTTGGGAAAACAAAACAAAACACATGCAACAAAAGTAACTTTAGCTTCTTTAGTGTGATCCTTAAGAAGGTATGTACAGAAGCAATTAGAAAAAAAAAACAAGCAAAGGACAATTGCAGTGTATGCAGACTATGGTCCTGGAAGTGGAATACCAGGAAGGAAGCAGATTAACTTTTAGATATGAAAATTTCTATGAAGTCCACAATCTAGAGCACTGGGTATTTCAGCCACCAATATACAGAAAAAATGTAATATTAGACAAGAAATGAATTTTGAGTCCAGATCAATAAAAATATTGTCAAACAATCTTACAGAAGTTCTACCATCCTATTTTCTTCTCTACCAAGAGGCTGTCACATCTGCTTTAGGCAGACATTTCTAAAAGTCCTAGAAGTCTCCTCTGCTCTTGCTATTAGCATATTTTGATCCACACGAGCAATGCACAAAGGAAGCAAATTCCACTTTACTTTGGGATAAAAACATTCTCTTTAGCTGGCATTTCATCATGAGGGAAGAAGACACAAACCTTTCAAAGTCCAAGCTACATGCAGATAACTGCTTACATCAGAATTTAATCACTTACCTGTTTCCCAACTGATACTTGAGGCATTGGCAAGACCTGTGGAAGCTGAGGCTGAGTCACTGGCTGTGCAGTTGTAGCCACACCAGATGCTGCTGACTGGGGAAGAAGATATTGCCCTGTCTGCTGAGAAGGGGCTGCTTGTTGTACACCCTATTGTTGAAAAGAGAAAAAACGAGCATTATTCCAGGTTATTATTTACATATTTTCAAGGAAATGTACTTCCTAAGGCCTTTAGAGAAATTTTACGCATAAAGATAATTTCAATTCTCTTTAAAAAGCAAGAATGACTGGCAAGTGGAAGCACACATGACCAACAGTTTTCTGCTCAAAACAACAAAGAAGCTGACCTTCAATCTTTTTATTCTTCTGTATTTTCCCAAGGCATCATCCCAGCTCCAGGTACATACTCCTCCCCTTAGTAACTCTGACCCTTTAACTCTGTACTATCAACTCCCTTGCTGCTTTATCCTAATGCTACTTATGTCTTGCCAAACCCTAAATCTGGATTATTTCCACCATCTGCTTCTTCTGCTCCTAAACATGTACTGCTAAACAGAACTAGAAGTTAGAAAACTGGGCTAACTTAGTCCCCAATAAATGTTACTAATCTCAACAAGACCCTCACTGCAGCAAAGCAATTCTTTAATTTCTCCCTAATTGGTACTTTATCCTATTCACCACAGTAAATGACCAAAAGTTTTCCACATTAGGACCTCACTTCATATTTTAATGAGAAAACAGAGGCCATTCATTATAAACTCCCTCTTTTCCCTTTCCCCTTATCTCAGAACCTCTTGACACTCTCTACTTTTACATCTCTTTTACTCCAGCATCTAATGAAGAGACGCCTTTGTGTGAAGGTTAACATCTTTTAACACATACTTTTGGATTCCTTCTCCTTCAGTATTCTCCAGAAGATTGTCCCTACTATTATTTCCATCCCTTCTTTAATCTTCAATCTCTCCCTATCTACTGGTTCCTCCTCTGATGCCTACAAAGTCACCCCCCACCAAAAAAAAAAAATCAATAGAACCTACAATCCCTATAAGCTATTATTCTTCATATTGCTTCCCTTTAAGTTAATTTTTTTAATGAACAAAAATCTATTTTCTCTCTTACCCATGTTATTATTTTCTTAACCAAGTTCCTTTAAGAGCTGTCTACAACTTGCTGTCTCTACCTCTCCTCTCTGCAATACAGCTTTTCTAACTTCACTGCTCAATTGAAGCTTCTTTCTTCCAAGTTAACAATAATTTTTTAACTGCATTAATCTAAGGTCTTTCCTCAAACCTCATTTCTCTACTTCATGTGATAATATCTCTTCCTAGGTATTCTTTTCTCCTTGGGTTTTTGTAACATTAGTTTCTTTCTTCCCCACTCTTATCTGTCTGACCATTCCTTCTTAGGCTCCTGTGCTGGATTATTAACCAAATCACATCTCCTAATTGTGGTTTTATTCCAAAGCCCGGTCCCAAGCGCTATTCTCTTTTTTCATTTTACTCTCTCATGTGCTGATATCATCAGCTCGCATGGGCTTCATGACCATCTCTATGTAGATGACACTCATATATGCATTTCTGGAGAGTACTCCCTATTCTGAGTTCCAGTACCAAATCTTCAATTGCCTGGTAGAAGTTTTAAACTGGATATTTCTTCTTAGAATAATATTTTTTTATATCTTATTTTTTTAATTAATACATTTATTTTTAGTTTTCAACATTCACTTCCACAAGATTTTGAGTTCCAAATTCTCTCCCCATCTCGTCCCTCCCCCCACCCCAAGATGGCATGCATTCTGAATACCTTTTCTCCTAATCTGCCCTATCTCTCCCCCTCTTCTCTTATTCTCTTCAACTTCAATTTTCCTGTAGGGCAGGATAGATTTCTATACCCCATTTCCTGTATATCTTATTTCTAAACTGGATATTTCAAAAGCATTTAAAACTCAACATGTCCAAATACCTCCCTCACATACCCTCTTCCCACTGTGCGAGGTTTCCTTGTATTATGTTTTTTATGTGTTCTGTTCCCCCATTAAAATACAAATTCCTTTAACAAAGGAGCTATTTGTTGTCTTTTTATTCCCCAAACCTAGTTAGTGCTTAATAAACACAGGATCAAATACAAAGATATATATACACAAATATACATATCTGTGTGTGTGTGTGTGTGTGTGTGTGTATGTGCGTAAAAGTGCCCACACCACCAGGAGGTAGAACACTTGGACGATTCTAGGAAGACGGACTTTATATTATGGTCTTCCTTTGAATCTGGGTGATAGTTTTTCAGATTGAAATGGAAATTTGAAGAGGGACAGGTTAAGGAAGAGTAATTATGAGTTTCTTTTTGGAAAGGTTGACCTTAAAATGCCTGGGGCACATTCCAGTAGAATTATTCAGTAGGTAGTTGGTGATATGAGACTGAAACTTGGGAAAAGTATCACAAAAACCCAAATATGCAAAAAGATCTTGACAAACTAGATAAAATCTGACAGGGACAAATGTATAGCATTATATTCAATTTTCAAAAACCAAATTTACAAGTACAGAATGAGGAAGTTATGGCTAGATAAATTTCTGGAAAATAGTTCTAAGAATTTTAGTGAACTGCATGCTCAATATGAATCAACACTGTAGAAAAAAGTAAAAAAACAACAACAAACCCCTAATATTATTCTAGGCTGCACTGAGAAAGGTGATAGTTTTGCTGGGAGAACTGTGGTTACTTTTGGGCATCATATTTCAGGAAGACCAATGACACACAGACGAATTATTCAAAGGAATATGACCAGCTAGGATGGCAAAGAACAAGAAGATGGCATTTGGGTGGCTTAGCTTGGAGAAGACTTGGTGGGGGACATGGAATATGATAGCTGCCTTCAAGTATTTTAAAGGTTTAGACTTTTTGTACACAGAGGACAGAAGTAGGAGCAACAGACGGAAGGTGCACAGAGGCAAATTTTGACTTGATTTAAGGCAATATTTCCAAACAATCAAAATTGTCCAAAAATTGGACTATCTTCTCCTGAAGATTTTCATTTACAAGCTGGACTGACTACTTTTGACAATATTAAAGAAGGTAAATTTGGTCAAATACAGGTTGGACTAAATAGCCTCTAGGACACTTTCAAACTGTGTAATTCAGTGGGGCATAGTGGCACATGCTGAAAACCCCTGACTGTGGGGAGGCCGAGGCTGGTGAGCAGGTATTCTAAGCTGTAGTGGGTTAAGCCAACTGGGTGTCTACGCTAAGACCGGTACCAATACAATAAGCCCTGGATAGAAAGGGGCCACCAGGCTGCTTAAAGAGGACTGAAATGACCCAGGTTGGAAACAGAGCAGGTCAAAGCTCTTACTTCTATCAGTAGTACAACTGGGCTCATGAGAAGCTGTTTATTTCCACCCTGGGAGACCTAGTGTCAAAAATTAAAACCAAAACAAAACAAGCAAACAAAACAAAAAAACCTCACACAAACTGTGTGATTCTGTATATTACATGTGGACTATTATTAAGTCTTTTGAAACATAAGTATACATAGATCATAGAGTTGTTAATGAAAAACATGTAGTTGTACTGTAACCAGACTAGATTACTACAAACCATTATCAGTATTGTGAATAATGGTTAATCATAGATATTTATTTTAGACATTAACAACTTATACTCATCTTAGTATATTAGCATCCCATTTATCCAAGTTTTGAATAATACCCTGAACCTGAAAGCTAGTGAGGGCTGTCACAAAGAGGATCTTTAGCACTCAGAGCCTTACTCTAACATAGTTATTGACCTTAGTTATATGGTTTCCTATCACAATTAGAAGGAAACAAGGAGATGGAATCAAAAGAAACATTTAAGTGATGGTAATGAAATATAATAACTGATAGGAAAGGAGATACAAAAATTTGAAAAGGTTCAAAATCATGCTAAATATTATAGCATTTAAAAAATGAAAGATAACTCATTATGGCATTTCTTTAAAAAAAATAGACTAGTGTATGATACAACAGGACAAACTTCTTTGACTTTCACTGTTACTGCTGCGAAGGGTCCTATAAATGGAGAAAGAAAGAAAAAAACCCAGGGATTATTTATTATAGAAGGTAGAGTTAATTTCTTAAAAGTCTTGGGATAGCCCCAGCCTTGACTCTGGCTTCATTTCCTAATGTTGGTCTAATGGACTTCAGCTCCTGGAAAACCAGTGCTGTATTATTATCCTGAATGTACCCAGCATTCAAGTGTCCATCTTGTTTAAAGCTATTGAAAATACTGCCAAAAGCTCTTCCTGTACACTTCCTATAATGATTCTCTGAGCCTGAGCCTTATTGATTCCAAGTCTGCCAATCCTCCCAAAATCTCCAATTTGATGAATTTCAGGGCCTACATGTCCTTCCTTAGGTACTCCACCTTTTTGGTGCTTTGTGGGCTAAAGTTCACCTATTTGGAAAAAGCATTTATATGGAATAACATGACAAATATTATGAAATATTAACTAGAGTTTCACAGACTAGCCTTAAATTGTATTGTGAGTTGCTTCTGACTACTTTTAAGATATATAAAAGTAATATGACATTATAATTATTACTTTCCTCTCTACATTTGTCACTTGAAAAAAGGAACACAAATCATTAAAGATTTTCAGGAACTGATATAGAACTGTAGTGTCATTTGCTGCTTATTCATAATTCTGAAATAAACATATGTATTAAAAGGACATTCATACCTGTTGTGCATGTTGTGCTGTTTGGGAAGATGGAATCCCAGTTAAGTTACTTGAAGCCAGATGACTCTGGCTCTGTGCCTGTGTCTGGAGGGAGAAGTAGATAAAAACGAAAATGAGAAAAACCTTAAAGAAAAATTAGTAACACTGAATAAATTTTTGGGGGCAAAGAAAATATAGAGAAGGTTTATTACCTTCTAGAATATATTCTGACATTATACAATTGATCTATGGCTGAAAAGTTAACTAACTTATCAGTATTTTCTATGATTCTGATCTATACCTTAAACTGCTATCAAGTAACGACAACAGAAATATTAAACAGAATTCCTATGAAAAAATGTTGGGAATGGTTTTTTTTAAAGCAAGAAAAAGTGAAAGATTAGATTAATACCATGAATTACTTTCATATTTAAGAAATCAGATCAAGATAAAAAGAGTAGGCAAAACCACTAAGCTGGTTCTTTTTGCTATTTAGGAAAGGGTCACTAGGTGACAAGTACAAAGCATTAAATCAAAGACATTATTAACTTATCTCTACATAATCAGCTGTTGTGGATATATAAAATGTCTTAGTCTTTTAAAAGTCTCAAGTTTATCTCTAAGAAGTCTGAATGAGTAGGCAAGAGATAAAAAAAAGCAAGAAATACAAAGGAGACTAAGGAAAAGTAATGGCATTCATCACTTTTAGGATGCCAGTCCCACTTGCATTTTCTTTTGGCATTCTTCTTTTGACTACATGACATTGTCCCTCTTTGCAATACAAGTACTAAATGTTACAACCCTCCTGACTAACCTTCTACCTTCAAAACTATAATCCTGAAGATTATTGACAACTGAAAGAATCATGATGATGAAACAAAAACAGTTTTTACCTCAGCTTTCCCGAGTTATCTGGCACATATCAGGTTGTCATAAAAGCCAAGACCTTCCTATGTGTTTTTTCCATATGTATATTTTCTAAGATGTAATAAAGTAGCAGGAAATACTGCTTTAGTATCCTATGATTTTCAGACTTCCTTAACTTTTTTTTGCCTTTTAATAATGTCCTTAGTCACATGGCTATGGAAGTTTCCTTGGATTACTCATATTGAAACCATCCCTGTGCTACTAGATTTGGGGTAACAAAGAATACAAGAATCACAGTTTATATTCTTTAAAAGGGTAGTATTTAAAAGAAAATCCAAGATATGTTTCTAGAGTGTCCTAAGATATGTTTTTTTCAACGGGATCTATGAACTGTGCAATATTAACCAGTTTCCCCCATTTTAGATTACTTTGGTCTTATATGGAAGAGTACTACGTATAATCATATTTTAATTTTATGAAACTCATTGAAAATATGATCTCTTTTGTCTTTTTTAACAGTCAAACAGGGCGCAATCATATGCTACTTACAGCTCGCAAATTCTTTGTAACCTAGCACCACCAAGTACTGGCTTAGGTGCCAATGCTAACAATGTTCCTTCATTTTGAAGTATCACTTTGGATGTATTATACTGACTGGTTTTGTTGGTGTTTTAACGAAATGTTCTTTTATTAATTGGTTGTACATTAAAAAATATATTATGCTTCACATATTTTACAACCTCTTTAAATTTAATTCAATTAATTCAAAGTTTTCAGACTATGTAAACATTGGTATTCCCTTAACACCCTCCTTAAAAAAAATCCCTCTAAAGTATATGCACAGGAAAGCATAAAGCTAGAATTAGTTTTTTCTGTGATAAGAACAAAATTCTCCATTATTTCTTTATTACATGAGTACTGTTAAGAAATATTTCATGATCACACAGGTTTAATGGTACACTTAACCAATCCTTCCAAGATGTAGTTCAATTCTTAATTGCAGCAACTTGCAACAAGAGTTTTCAGTAAGTATGGATATAAGATAATGGGGTCTGACCAAGTGGATCACTAGAAAAAAATGTTAGCCTACTGCTCTGTTTATGTGCTTCCATCTCCAAAGATCTGTTACGTTATGGGTATATTTAGCAGTTTTTTATGCTTCATTCTTATGGGGGGTTGAGTGGGAGTAAGGGTTTTGCCTTATAACCTACTCAACTACAAATGCCAACATACTATTGAAAAACAAAGTGAAAGTTTTCTCAGCTCCAAGATTCAACATTCCTTGAATAAAAGAAACTTTAAGAATGATAATGGTACTTAATAGAGTAGTAAAAACATTATTAAAGAAAAAATTCTGCAACAGTTTGTCCTATAACCTGAGGATAGAGAGTAGATCCTCCTGAAGAGAGTGAAGCTGATAAGGCTTGCTGAGCTGTGGTACCCTGGGGAAAGCAGAGAAAAAGTGGGGACTCTTGTAACACTGTCTGAGGCAGATGGATACAGGGCAATGAAAAGTCAGAGCCAAAAGATGCAGATGTTCCCCCTGTAGGGGGAGGTGACTGGAAATCTCCTATATCAGAAGATGTCAATTGTGATGAATCACTGGAGTACTCTGGGCTTCCAACTGGCCAATTCTGTCTGCTGGGCTCCATGGTGGGAACAGTCAATTCTGGACCATGGTAATTACACTGTTCTTCAGTCACAGGCTGCAGGCGACCCTGCAATCCAATCGGCTGAAGAGAAGGCCCTTCCTGATTAAAGTCAGTGGTCCCCTGAAGACTTCGGTAAACTCGTTGAGATAAAGCATCGCTTCCTTCTCCTGAAGAGGAAGAGCTTGGTGTGTGAACATGAAATTCAAATACACAGCCAGTTCTGCCCTCACTGCTATGAGTTAACACAGCAGGTGCAGAATGAGGAACAAAAATTGGGTGAAATTTCAAACATGTAGCATCTGTACTGATAGGAGCAGAGACACTTGACAGGGGAGAAGCTGGACCTATTCCAGAATCTAGCCTCAGGCTCTGAAGGTGTCCTACCAGGAAAGCTTGACCAGCTGGAAATTCAAAGACAGAACTGAGGGAGGAACACTTTGTATTAGCTTCTGTTCAGGAATTTGCTTTGCAGGGTTTGACAGCACTGGAGAACTGTATGCTATGCCATCATAGTGTTCTACTCCCTGGGGCTGGTAATGTACCCCTGCTAGATATACTGTTTCCTGAGGCATCAAACAGTGAGCTTCTTCTGGAGGGGCTAGTCCAGGTCTCCAGTCACTATAAATTTGAGCTGGTTCAAACACAGGATGAACTTGTACCTCATGTGGCTCTCCAGTAACCCTAGTGGCTGTACCCAACATGACCACTGCCTCTGTCGTCCAATTAGTTGGGCTACTACTGGCAGGGCGAAGGTTTTGGCCAAGAGTCCTCAGCAAGGGCTGGCAGTGGCGGGGCTGGGATTCCAGGAAGGAGGTGCTCTTGCGACGCTGAGAAATGGCCACCTTTGGTGGGCAGGTAGGAGGAGGTGAAAAAGAGACGGGACGCTCATGAATAGTTGGGAAAAATATCTGTGGTTCTGAGAATGTTGGGGTCCCCCCACACGGATGCACCATGGACTGAGGCTGTATCAACATGAATAAGACAAGTAATTCATACATTTAGACATGAAATTACATTAAACATGTATAGCTTGCTCAACAGCAGCTCTGCATAACCTTATGAGATTGCTGCTCCAAATTAAGATTAGCAAAACAAAAATAATGTGTTTTTGAAAGTTATAGAAATGGTATAAATATCTATTAAATACATCCAGGACAAAATGGACAAATGAGAATCTCTGCTTTGGTAAGATATTGATTTTCCAATTACGACCTCCCTTTCCTTGTCAACAGGGAATGAGAAAAAAAAACAAACCCCAAAACCAAAAACACCCAACCACAGAGATTATAGCATCATAGTTTTAGAGTTTTATTTATAAGTGATCATTTTGTTCACTATTCACTGGTATTCTGTAAGCTTTAATAATTAATGGAACAAGAGTACCCTCAATGGAGGAATAAATGAAAGTTTCTCTAAAGGATAACATGGAAAGTGTGCTTCAATTCCAACTCCTGTATTTAATTTTTCCACATTTCTAATTTTCTATTATTATCCTATCCTATCTTATAGGCTTCAATATTATTATCTTATGAAGCACAGAATATACACTAATTGAATTGCAGGAAAGGGAGTCTATATAGGTTGTAAAGAAAACTGTGAGGGTATGGTGCTATCTCCTGAAAATAATAGTGAAATATCACATGAATTAGTTTTCCTATGCCTGATGCCTATATTACATATGAATAAATGGAAAAAGCATTTTAAGTGTTTACTATATGCAAAGTACTACACTAAGAGCTAAGGATATAGATAGAAAAGGTAGCACCTAACTCTCAAGGAGTTCATATTCTAACATCCATTAAGTGGGACAAAACTCTAACATGCCTAATTTGGACAAAAAGTACATTTCATTATACTGCCCAAACTAGTGTAAGGTGAAGTCAGTAGATCTGTAATGAAACAGTATAAATGTATACAGATATAAAACACTAGAGTGTACTTTTAAAACCGTAGACAAGGCCAAAATCATGCATGAATTTTGTGATCATAGTATTTGGTATCCAATCCACAAGCAAATCCAATATTAGCTTAAGAAATAACACACTATGTGGCAGTTCTAATAGGAAGTAACAATTCTTTAATTTCAGCTCCAAGAATGTAAAATTAGTGATGTGACTAACTGTAGAGGAAAGAGTACTGAATTTGGAGTCAGAGAGCCAGCGTTCCAATCCTTGCTCTGCTAGAGACTTCCCATGTGACCTGAGAATGAGGGGGCTGGGTCAGATATCTTTAAGATACCTTCCAACTCTAAAGTCACTGATCCTATAAATTATATTTGACAAAACTCAAGCAAGCATAATGATCAAAACAAAGTGCAGGCTAAGGCAACTCATTTTTATATGCAACTTAAAAAAAAAAATTCACCCTATGTTCTATCATTGGACTAAGACTTCAATAGTGGTGTAGAAGCACCTACAATGTCAGCTCCTGGAGGGCCTATGTTCAGATTCCTAGATGATCTTTTAGAAATGAGAGAACTTACTGTGGGGTGCTAACTCTAAAAAAGAGACGATGAGACTAATATAGTCATACTCTTTAGAACACAGCTCTTCATGAAAAATCTTCTGGTGCCTGTATCAGAACACTTACTTCATTCCCTCCCTATAAAAGCAGTAGTGCCTTTGTAAAGGTAGAGGTGAGCCACATATGTCATATACTCTGGAAGTCAATTTCATGGGATCAAACTTCAATTCCTCTTCAAACCAAAGAGGAATATTTTTATAAGGAAACAATAGTGTTTGCCTTCCTGTTTTACTGAAATACCTAAATAATTCTACCACTTAAGTCAATCCTATTTAGGCAAAATTTTCCATGAAAGTAACAGACAGCAGTCAGTTTTTAATGATGGCTTCCTTCTACAATCAAATAGGGAGAACATCTAAAATTTAGGTATTACCTGAGTAACCTGAAATTTGTTTCAAAATTATGAATTTGGACTATATTTAATTTCAAACAAGCCAACCATAAGCTGACAGTTTTTAATGGAATTACCAGTTCATCTAGTTTGACTCTGTAAAACTGATGGGATGTGTATGTTGTTTGTGGGGAGAAAGGAAAATGGAAGATACCCTATGCTCTACATTTTTCCTTTCAAATCTTCCCTCTCCATCCCTCAATAAGAATGAACTGGTTCTGATTTCTATTCCCTTAGGGAGAACATTATATTTTCTGTTAAAAAGCTAAATTGATCAACTAATATGTTGATCAATATTATCATATTTATTATTAATACATCAATATTATCAAAATATCAATATATTATCAATAACATTATAGTAATGGTTATTAGGAGGTCTGTGTTATCTCTCTCGGGTAATACCTTTACATTTTAATAGAGGCCTTAATTCCAAAGGACAGACCTCAATAGTGGCAATTTCAGTCACTGTAGTAGGCCTTAAATTGGCGGAAGGTACTAATAGTGTTGAATAAGTGAGCCTTTTTGGCAGATCTAAAATCTGTAACATTGACTAGATTTGGTCTTCCCTTTCAGCTTAGGGTGGTAGATAAATAGAGTTCCCACACGATCTCCACCATTAATCACATTATTAAGTCTTCAAAGTTTCACTGCAACTAAATTACGACCCCAGAAATAAACCTAGTATAAAAGCAACAGAAACTCCAGAAATACAATGTTATATTTCTGTCTACTACGGTCTCTGCTCCACTTTTATTAAAATTCTAAAAGCCTGGATATTTAATAGGGACTTATCTTCATTTTTCCAGGAATTATAGTAAACATTCAGGACTGACAAAGAGGGAGGGCAGGCTGGAGCGTCGGTGCTTGCGTGGAGAGGCAGAGTGCATAGGCAGGATATCCTCCAATGCCTTAGAAAGTTTTTCAGCAAATGTTTCTTTAGGGGCAGTTCGAAAGTAGGAAGGAGAAAGAGGTGCAGACAGCACTGGTGGTGGGGTAGAAAGAACACTGGGAGAGATGCAGGACATAAAGGGAACAGCAGAAAGATGGGGAACACAAACCAACATGCTACGATCACGATGAGGCTAAACAGAAAACAAAAAATGAAGATAAATACAGTATTCTGGGAGAAAAAAATAACAACAAACATGTAACAGAAATGGGGCATAGTTGGGATGAGAAGGTAACAATCCCCACTCAAGTCAATACTTAGTTGGACTACTCATGAAGCAGGCTAGGTAAATTCACCTGACAATAAATCACTGGGGTGACAACTCACTGCTGCTCCCTTTCCATCCAGGAAGGTTCATAAAAGTCTGTTGCCTCATATGCTACTAGGCAAATACCCAATTACCCTACCCTCTAGGATATTCTGACTCTACTATACTTTTGCTTGTGAATGTACAGGAATGATTTTAATTGACAGAAGGATGTAGTAAAGACAGGGAACATAGTAAATGTATGCATTTGAAGGGTCTGTAGGTTTGTCTCAAGAACACATAAGAAAAAGTCACCTGCACTACATATTCCATAGGGATCAAATCTGCAATGATGCTGGATACACTGGGAGAAGCTTATGTTTATTAGGAAGCATCAGACTTAAAAACATATTATTTTTATTGTATGTATGCTGGGAGAGAAAGAAAGCTATCTCATACTAGAAAAATTTTAGCTTTAAGAAATAACACAACTAAATACAAACAGAATGCTTTACTGGTTTAACAAAATGGTCACTGTTCTTCTTCAAAGAGAAATTAATGTTTGTCATTTCCATGCTTCAGAGGCTAAGTGGCAAGAATCAATATAATTTAAGTGGTTTGAGCTCCTTAGGAGAAAATGTACTATACAAATCTATAAGTAGTTAATAGTCAAATAGCATGAAGTTCGTTTTTTGTTTTGTTGTTGGTTTTTTTTTAAACAAACACTTCAGAGATGTTAAAATCTTACTATGCCACTATAAACTGTTAGAAAGCAAAGAGATTCCTGCCTAATGATCACAACTACCAAGGCTATGTCTATGAATCAAAAGTTAAAGATCATAAATGATTACCTCTTTTAATTTGTGGGGGTTTTTTTGTTTGTTTTTGGTGAGGCATTTGGGGTTAAGTGACTTCCCCAGAGTCACTCAGCTAGTGAGTGTTGTGTGTCTGAGGCTGGATTTGAATTCAGGTCCTCCTGACTCCAGGGCCAGTGCTCTATACACTGTGCCACCTAGCTGCCCCTGATTACTTCTTTTAAACTCAACTCCCAATGTTGCACAACCCTGTGGCAAACGAAGCCAGTAGTTAGAAATTTAGTTAAGAAAAATTAATTAGAATAAAACTGGAAACATGAGACTAACAGCCATGTGATTTTTTTCAAATTAATTTTTTCTATGTAGCTACAGACTTATAGCCAAGAACTTCTTTCTCCCTTACATTTCTCAATGAAAACTAAAACAATTCAATAAATACTTAAAAATGTCTTCCATGTGCAAGGCACTGTGATAAATACTTGGGAAACAAAGACAAAAATTAAACAGTTCCTGCCCTCAAGGAGCTTACATTCTACAGGATGTTAAAATTAAATTTTAACATCCAAAAAAGTGCAGACAAAAAATGCTGAATGCATACTATGGAAACTAGAAATGTCTTCAAGGGCATAAGAATAATTTTCAAACAGCTTTTCTGAAGCTCTTCCAACCAACTTACTTTCTTTTTTTCCCCTAAGTTTAAAACTAAACTGTTCAAAACCAAAGGTTAGTATTTTCCTTTGCATTATTGTGGCCATAAAACTTGGAAGTCAATCAAGTCAAGACTGTTTGAAAAGATTATGATACAAGCCAAATCCCTCTACTCCACACACTTTGGGATAAGAAACCATAACAAACAAAAGAACTTTCTACAATTTAATGAAAGACACATTTAATAAAGGTCAAGAATACTACAAACTCGAACATTAACAGCGTTTTGAAAAAAACTGGAGAGACTGGCTATTTGCTTACATATGTAAATAAAGGAGTGTTGTAACCAATGGCTCTTTTAAGACAGATGATAGGATAATACCATTAATACTCATTGTGTGTGTGTGTGTGTGTGTGTGTGTGTGTGTGTGTGCGTGTGTGTAACATGCAACTGCTAAGATCCACAGAAAATTCTAAGGACCTCGGAGACTCATGACATGTACCATTATCTCAAAATATATCTGAAAATGGTCTCCAAATTAGAAGGAAGGGGCTAAGAGAGATAGTGACCCCAGGGATAATAATGTGTCTATAAGATATACATATATGTATGTACATACAATATTTTAGAAAACAGCCCCCATAAATCAATTCTGAAAATGAACAAGTAGTAAAAAGGATAACAAATAAAAGGGGGGAGGAGGGCAAATACACAGTAGGGAAGGAATTTGTGCCCCACAGACTTTCCAAGGAAGGAATACGCACAGCAATTTATGATAAACTAAACACAAGCACTAAATAAAATGGAAATGCAAACATGGGATCTGTTCATTCTGCAGTGCTCACATGCAGCATTCTATATAAGTTGCTTACCTGTGACTTCCACAATAAGAAATCTAACAAAAAAATGCTTAACAAATAACACTTCTGAAAAAAGCTCTTTTTTTCCCAAAATCAACTGCTTTCACAGTTCCTGATTTTTAAAACAATTTTGATTTGACTGTTCCTTACCGGTAAAAGCACTATATTACGGTGATTAGAGCTTGGTTATATATTTACTTATGTATTGTTACTATAACTGGAGGGTTTAGGCTGAAATCTGTTCACTCATCACTATAATCATATTATGTACCAAAAGCTTTATTTTCTTTAGGGTACATGACAGTTTATGTATATCATGGCTCACTTTTTTTTCCTTTTAATATATGTTGGTACCTTGACATTAGGGACAGACTGACCCTGGGAGTTTTTCTCCTGTAAATATAATTATATTGTTTCTTACACTTTTACTTACCACTGTGGAGGAAGGATATACACCATGGGGCTGGGATTGTGCTTGAACAACAGAAGCTGTATAGCTTGGGATCGTGCCTGTCGAGAGTGCCTGCTCATGTTGAGACCCATATGAGACAGTCTGCTGGCTGCTCACTCGAGATTCTGTGAAGACTGAAGACCCCTGTCCACTGTCAACTGTTCCATCAGCTTAGGAGAATAACAAGAAATTTCACACAGAGATAAAAAAGTTCAGAAAACTTCTAAAACTCCTAACTA